CCGGCAAGGTCCCGAGAGAAGCCCGGGAGAAGCCACCAGACCACTCCAGGGGAGGGTATTTTTCGACACTACTCACGAGAATCGTGGCCTCCGAGGGGGGAGCCGCAATCGACTACCCCCAAGAGCCCCCCAAGAGGCCCTGGGGGCCTCCAAAACGCCGCCAAGGAGCCCCAAGAGACTCCCAAGAGGTCCCCAAGAGGCCCCCAAGAGGCCGTAAAGAGGGTTCCAGGGCCGGCGGCATGAGCGAAGCGATTAAATAAAGGTGCGGGGGGGGGGGGGGGGGGGAGCGCTAGACCCCGACCCTCGGAACAGGGCGCCTGCGCGCGAGCCGAATCCAGCAAAACGCACGAGGAGCCCGAAAGGAAGACGAACCGAATCCCGCGAACCCGCAGAAGCCCCTTTCCCGAGTGCATAGCCCCCTAAGAAAGGACGCCTTCTGTCTGTTCGCTGCCCCGTGACTAGGGGGAATCGGGAAGAGACTGTTTTGCCTCCAAGTCCAAGGCGGTGTCTCCTGCGCTGGCAAAATATGCCTCGTGTGGGGTGCCTCATGGAGCTGCAGGCCGGCCTGGCCATGTCCGTGGCGACCCAGGAATGGCCGCCAGGAGCACTGGCCAGGCGCAGCCCCGAGGAGGCGAGTTTTTACAAACTCCCAATGAGGCGCCTCCACAGAGGCATAAGTGAAACGCGCGTCTGATGATGAGTGATGGCTGGGACCGCCACGCCACTCGAAGCTGTAGACACGGCGCGCAACAGCTGATCGCACCGTTCTGAATCTGAGAAACGAGCGTAAAATGCTCGCATGGTTTCAGGGGCCGACCAGCCGCCCTGAGCCTGCACCAACTCTTCCGGCAAGCAGCACACTGTCTTGTACCAGTGAGCACCGCCTTTTTCGCAGCGAGTGTGTTCCCACTGCGGCGGTCTGAAAGAACTGCGAAAGATTTCGGCGGAAGGAGTCGCAATTCATGGGGCGGGGCTCCGCCAAATGAGTCGTGCAAAACACGGGCGCATCCGGGTCGGAACCCCAGCGCGAGTCCCGCTGCACCAACCATTCCCGCAGGACGTGGCAAGGGCAAAGGCTGGGGGTGTCGACCATCTTTGGGATGTGGCACACCATGCCTTGTCCGAAAGGGTCGATCTTTTGCCCGGCGACAAAAATAGACGCGAAATTGTCGTGTAAAGATATGTCTCAACGCCGGAGCGCGAGCGTCTCGGAACACCACTGGACGCCGAAGAAAGACACGGCTGCTATAGCGACGTCCCGGACAACGGCCAGGCTGCCTGCTTTGAGGCGAGCGGTCTGGTAACACCGCAATTCTTCGAGAGATACCGGGCGCTTTGCATGTGACCGTGAATGGTCGGCCCGCTTCTTCAGACCTCTCCAGGATTGGGCCGACCGGTCCGTCCACGCACTGTCAAATTGCGCTGTCAAATTGCGTTGCTGGTGCCAACAGCGCACTGCAGCGCGCAGATTCGTGACGGACTACAAGGACCGGCCGTCCATCTGGGCAAACAACAGCATGAATTTCACGTCTGAATCGCACGGCAAAAGTTGCAGCCCTGAAGAATTATCGAAAGAATCTACGGCAGTTCGCGGGGAGCTGCTATACCGCTTCTTTGTGCTCTCCTCCAAGGCTGCTTGGAGGCAGCGGTGAATTGCTGATATGGCCCTGCTGCGATGCGTTCCCTGTTCAACAGAGGTGCTCTCGCGAATTAAAGACAAGAGGTCGGGGCCCTGACTCAGAAGCTGGCGCGCGCCTGCTGCGTCCACCGGCGGGGCTCGAAGTGGTTCGCGTTGCAGCGCGGGGGCCCCAACAGGCCCGCTTGACGTGCTAGGGCGCCAGCGTGCGTCACCGGGGCGGGTCTCCCCCAGAGGCACCGCGGATGCCTGCGAAGGTGCAGCGCGAGGCCCGTCGGAAGACGCTCTGTCGGCCGCCGGCCCGGGGCGATCGAAATCGTCGCGGTGCAAACAGGCGGGGCCGAGGCGCTGGCGGCGCGCGGGCTCTGGCGATCCTGGGCCGCGCTTCATCTCGAGCCCCACAGGCTTTGGGGTCGCGGCGGCCATTCCCTGTCGACCAACAGGCTGGGGGGGGGGCGGCGACGAAGGTGTTTTTCCCCCCGCCAGGGGGCAAAAAATACACCAATCGTACGTTTTCTTGCACATTTTCTGGCGGTCGGGGGCCGCCTGGGCCCTGCCGTGTGTGGCCCCCGGGGATATTGTGGCCACAGCAATACTTCTGGGCAATGGTGCGCGGATCCGGTAAACCACGCGCAACGAGGAAGTGTTTTTCTTCCCTGCCAGAACGGCAGAAAAAGTGAAGCAATCGTACGTCTTTTACACAGACCTGTGTTGAATGAGGCCGCCAGGGCCGCGGCCCAGATCCCTGGTGATTTCTCTGCCCCCCAGCAGTAACTAATGGGCATGGCGCGTGTACCCGGTGACCGCCGACCCGCGCCCGCCGACAATCCCTGGGCGGGATTGCGTAGGAAAGGGGAGGGGCGGGGCGGGAAGGGCGAAAGCGAAGGGCAGGCGAGGGACAGAGAAAGCAGGGAGAGGGGGGGAGCATACGGTGATGCGACGACTGGCGCTTTTTGTTTTTTCAAGGCGTGCAGCGGGCGCGGCCTCGGACTGGGTCGCGGGGGCCGGCCCGGGGCGCGCGCCTACTTGAAACGCAGGCACGCGGCGGAAGAAAAGAAAGGACATGCGCCAAGAACGGCCTGGCAGGCGCATGAATTAAAACTCTCGCCCCGGACAATGGCGCTGAAGAAAAGAAACGCATGTGCATAACCATGGGTCCTGCCTGCCCCCTTGCACTTTGGGCAAGTGAGCACGCAGCGGTTGCCGAGGGACTTGCACGTAATGAAGACGCACGAGGAGCCCGAAAGGCAGACGAACCGAATCCCGCGAACCCGCAGAAGCCCCTTTCCCGAGTGCACAGCCCCCTAAGAAAGGACGCCTCCACCCCCGACTGAAGGAGGCAGGAAAGCCCAGAATCGAATCGATAAGTCGGATCGGCGATGGAAATGAGTCGGAACGGCGAACATCGGCAACCAAGTCGGGAAAAGTCGAATCGACGGAAATCGGTAGACTAATAGGCCTACATTGAGAAATCGAATCCAAATCGGAATGCGGAGTCGAATCGAATCGGAATCGGAAGCCACCGAAATCGAATTGAATCGAATCGGATTGAATCGAAATGAGCCCAGAGGAGGGGGAAGCAACCGGCAAAGAGGAGCAGGGGTGGGTCCGCGGGGCATGGCACCGCCGACCGCCTTGCTCGGGACCGCGGAGTGCCCGCGGGAGTCTGCACGGAGCCAAGGCTCCTCCTCCGCGGGGCATCGGCCGGATTCACGATCTAGGAATGGACTAGATCGCGATCTAGTCCATTCTGGATCGTGAGTCGGTCCGTTGTTGGATCCTGAATCGGTCCGTTTGAAATCGCGAGCCGGTCCATTCTGAATCGTGAATCGGGCAACACTCGTCTTGTCTGCAGGTCGGTCGGACCAAATGCGCGATCTGGTCCGGAAGGGCTGAATTACGATCCCAAAACGGACTGATTCAGGATTCCAAAACGGACCGATTCACGATCTAACATGGACCGATTCACGATTTAGAACGGACCGATCTCGTCGACGTGTTCGGGTGTTTTTGAAGGGACGTATGTGGATTTGGTAAGTTTTGGGAGGGGGTGGGTGGAGTTGGGAGGACTTGGGAGGATTCGGGTGGATTCAAAAGCATTTCAAAACCCACTCAGAAGCATTTCAAAAGCGTCTCAGAAGCCTTCCAAAAATTTCCCAGAAGCCTTTCAAAAGCCTCTCCGAAGCCTTTCAAAAGCGTCCCAACAGCCTCTCAGGCGCCTTTCAAAAGCCTCTCAGAAGCCGTTAAAAAGCTTATTCAAAAAAAGCCTCTCTGAAGCCTTTCAAAAGCCTCTCAGAAGAAGCCTTTCAAAAGCTTTTCAACAACTGTTCAAAAACCTTTCCAAAGCCCCCTGGGGGCCTCCTGGAGGCCTCCTTGGATATTGACCAGACCGGAGATCTGTGAAACATCTGTGAAAGGGGCACCCCCTCATCACTAACACACACTACACCAAACCACAACACGCACAAGCAACGCGCGCGGAGACACCACGAAACACCACGACCACCAAGAGAACCCACGATACACCACGGGGCACCACGGGACACCACGATGCACCACAGCACACCACATCACGCACACACACACACACACACACACACCGCCACCACCAAAACACACCACGCCACACACACACACACACACCACACCACACCACACTACACCACGCACACTCCACACGCACGGAGGCACCACGAGACACCACGAGCACCACGAGACACCACGACGCACCACGAGACACCACGGGGCACTGCGGGACACCACCACCACACCGCACACACACACACACACCACCCTCGGAATCCCTGGGAATCGATTCCCAGGGATTCGAAAAGGGATCCGGGGATCACCCCCAGAATCACTGGGAGTCGATTCCCAGGGATTCCGAAAGTGATCCCAGGATCGCTTTTGAAAATCCCTGGGAAACGATTGATTCAAGATTCCAAAACGGACCGACTCACGATCTAAAACGGACTGGTTCAAGATTCGAAAACGGACCGATTCACGGCTTAAAATAAACTGGTTCAAGAGGCCAAAACAGACCGATTCACGATCTACACCAGACTGACTCACGATGCAGAACGGACCGATCTCAAATTTGAACGCGCGGAAGAACAATGCACAAATAATAAACAACTAGAACCACGCGCGCGCTGCGCGCGCGCTTTGGTTCTAGCAAGATGCGGCGACGGTCTAGGGTTCGCAGCATCGGAGAGCAGAAAGACGTCTATCAATCATGATCAATCAGCAAACCGCACCATCCCTCTATGCCCCCACGGATGCACGCCATGAGCCCCAGTCGACCTTAATCCTGCATTCTCCTCTCAGCAAACCCTCTCAATCCCTTTCCTTTCCACACCCTTTTTGGAGGACCAATGGAATCACATTCCACGCGGCAGAGGAGCAGTTGCGGGCGCGGTGGACGAATTCCACTCGGCATGCAACGCGAAAAAGTATGTTCATTGTCGACGCGGTGGACGTGTTCCACTCGGCGTGCAACCATGAAACATACAGAGGGCCGCAGGTCGAAATAGGATTCCGCATTATCCCACTTCAGCTGCCTACATACCCTTTGTTTCATTCCCAGGGGGGCGCCTCGAGAAAACAGCTCACACACGTACAGCAGCAGCTCGTGTGTCCACCGGGGGGAGGAGGGGGGGCGGGCCCCAGTGCTTAATCAACCCGGTTGAAGCAACCGCTTTAAGCAGCCAAGATTTGGTCTTTGGGGAGGAGGGAGCGGGGGCCCGCGCCGATCGGCGAAACAAGACATAAGAAACAGCTACGTACCTCTCAAGATGGCTCAATGGGCCCGATTTCGGCACACCCCTCACGCACTCTACGCCTATCCAAGGCCTAGACGACCCAGAGCGTCCAAGGCCCACCTCGAGCAAACCCAATGTCTCGGCATTCCCACAAATTATGGCAATGGAGCGAAGCTTCTGCGCGTTGAGCGGAAGTTCAAGCTCAAGCTAAAAGAGAACTATAAAATTGAGCGAAGCTTCCGCGCGTTGAGCGGAAGTTCAAGCTCAAGCGCATACAGCTGGACTTCAAATAATTTGGATCGAAAATGGAGCGACGCTCACAGCGAAGGCAGAACATCAAGCTCAAGCTAATGTGAAGGGGAGCCCCAGGTTGCCGTGGGCCTGCAGAAGGTGGGTCTCCTTTCTGCGGTCCAGGCGGCGCCAGAGCACCGCTCCCCTCGGATCCTGCCCAATGCCTGCCCACGAACCCCCAGGCCTGTCCAAGGTCAGCCCGACGGCCTATCCAATGCCTGCCTCAGGCTTACCTGGCGGCCTTTCAAGAGCTGATACATGGCCTACCCAGAACCCAGTGAAGGCCCGCACACGACCTAGCCAAGGCTCATCACAGATTTGTCACGTCCAAGATCTTTACAAATTTTACGTCTAGCGAACCACATGCGAGCGCCATAACGAATGTGAACACCCAAATGCGCGCGATCACCGTGCCCGCGCTCGTCTTACAACCGCGACGAAAATCTTTACAACGATGGGCTGTCGTGAAGGGTTCTATGGTGCGCCCACCTTCGTCGTGCAACCACCGCGCAAAATTTGCCAACACTGGGCCACCCTGAAGGTTTGAACGGTACGCGCCAAAAAAAATCGACAACGAAATAATCGATCCGACGGTCTTCCCAGTACCGCGGCGACTGCCGGGACTGATCCGAGTGTTCGCTTCCTTCGTGGCGGCCCTGAAAAAAAGCACACCCACCTCAAAAAGCCAACGTCTCGCGTGAGATATCCCCGAATGCTGACCGCAAGTGGGCAAATGTCCCACCCCGTGGTCGCTCCCCATTGTGGCGCCCAGCAACGTTTGTTGCGACATCGCGAACACCACGCGGCCCTGAAAAAGACGCGCCTACATCCGTGAAACAAGCGAACCGCTGGAGACATCCCCACAATCTGGGCACGAACCGGTAAGTGTCCTAATTATCCCCTGGCGGCACCCCCTTGTGTTGCCCAAGTGCGAGGCCTGTCACACCGCGATAATTCTGATCGTGATATGGAAAAGGAGGGAGGAGGAGGAGGAGGAGGAGTGAGTAGACGGAGGCGCGACACGGATAACAAGAATTCACGACGCAAAACACGGAAATAAACGCCGCAACATATTCCACGAGACGTGCAACTGCCTGCACAATGATCCGTTATCACCGTCGCACCCTTGATCCGCACGCGTTCGACGGAAACTGGCGGCAATCAAACTGGCCCAATCTGCCAGGGCATCGCTCGTGGGGGGAGGGCCTCCTCGCCTCGGGCTGCTCTCCCGCAGCCGCGCCCCGCCGTCGACGGCGAGCGCGCGCCTTGTGGGTGCCCTGACCGTCCCGGGCGGCCGCCGCAGGCCCGAACGTGCGTTTGATTCGCCCATGTCGTCCAGCCCGCCCATCTGAACCAAGAAAGCCGGTTTCTGCTGAGACATCCTCACGATTCGCTCTTAAACTTAAGCTGGCCACGGCGTGCAGGTGACGCTGGCGGTGTGCTGCCCGCGCCGAGGCGAGAGCGCCGTTTGGACGGACTTTCGGCCATTGTACGGTTCGGCCCGCATAGTACGCTATGTTATCAATGCGAGGCTAAGCTATGCGGTGTGATGCGATGCGATACTATGCTGTGCGATGCGATGCTATGCTATGCTATGCTACGCCATACTGTGCCATGCGATGATATGCTAGTATATGCGACGCGATGCGATGCGATGCTATGACATGCTATGCGATGCTATGCTATGCTATGCTACGCGATGCTCGTCTATGCTGTGTTGTGCGATGCTATGCGATGCTATGCTATGCTCTGCTGTGCGATGCAATGCTATGTTGTAGCTCCAGTTGGTTCCCCTTCCTCACCCCCACCACCACACGCACAACCTCTTTATCACCCGAAGGGTGGTCGTACATGTAGGTATACACTGGCAGGATCTCGCGGCCAGAGATACAACCGCCTCGCGCACACTTGCCTGGAGCGGGGAGGGATGGGGAGGAATCTGGGAGGAGCGGGGAGGGGTGCAGAGTGAGGTGTCTTGTGGGCCTCTTGGACTGTCTCAGAGCGCTCTGGGATCCACAGGCGCCTACGGAGGTCGTCTTGGAGGGCTCTGTGGGACGTTTTGGGGCGATCCTGGGAGCTTCTTGGACCGTCTTGGAGGCCTTGTTGGGATGTCTTGCGGCGCTCTTGGGGTTCTCTGAGGCCGTCGTGGACGCTATTAATACAAAGCGCATATGCCCAAAATAGACGCTTCCCAAAGGAATTAGGGCGATGTGTGTTCCTTGCGGCCCTCATAAGTGTCCTCTTGAAGCCCTCTTCAAGCGCTTGGGGGGCCTCTCGGGCCGTCTTGAAGCCATCATGGGCGTCTTGACGAACTCTTGGACCGTCTCGGAAACCTCCTGGACCGTCTGGGGAGCGCCTTCGGGCCCTCCGAAAGCCCCCCGAAGGACCCCGAGGGACACAGTGGGCACCGCGGGGGGAGGGGGGAGTTTGGGAAAAGTGGGCAGCCTCGGGCCCCAGGGGTCTGGTCGCGGGGTCCGCATGGTGATGGGCAACTATGATGAGCGCTTGCGCGCTGCAGTCAGATCCACCTTGAGCCAAAATGGCTACGGATGCTCGTGGGGCGTCTTTGGGGGCTCCTGTGGGGCCTCGTGGAGCCTCTAGGAGGCCTCTAGGGGGCCTCTTGGGCTCTCTTGGGGTCTCTTGGGGCCTCCTGGAGGCCTACTGGGGCGGAAGGCTCGAATTGTCGGTTCGTGTTCCCCCTCTTGAGCCCCTCTTGGGGCCCTCTTGAGGCGATCTTGGGCGCCTCTAGGGCCGCCTTGGGGCACTTTTTGGGCCATCTTGGGGGCTCTCTCTATTGCGCCGTCGTGGCGCCCTCTTTGGGTGCCTCTTGGGCCGTCTTGAGCTGGTTTCTGGGGCCTCATGGGCTGTCTTGAACCGTTGGAAGCACGAAACAGCGAGAACACGAACAACCTTCAAAAACCATTGAGGAAACCTACTTGCTTCGCCTCCTGAGTGCCTCGTGGGAGCACTTTTGAGGGCATCTTGGCCATCTTGAAGCTCTCTTGGGCTGTCTTCAAAACCATGTTGGACCAATTTTGGAACGCTCTTGTGCGGTCTTGGGCTCTCTCGGACCGGTCGTGGGCCATCAAGGCGCCATCTTGGACGTCTCTCGGCCCTTTTTGACGTTTTTTGGCGCCCCCCGCTGGGCCCGAAACGGTCAGACGAAAAATCAGTGCACTTCGGAGGGCCCGGGACCCCCTACCCATTATACGTATATATATATATATATATATATATGTATGTATGTATATACATGCTTACATATATATATATATATACTATATATTATGCATACATAAACCAACACATCATATATATATATATATATATATATATATCCCTTTTCTATATTTTTATAATCCTGGGGGGTGGGACCCCCCCCCCCGAAATAGGATCCTCCCCAACCGGGACTTCCGGAAACGGGACCCCTCACGAGGATCGCAGCCTCCGAGCGCGAAAATTAGCGCTCTCCGTCCAAAGAGGAAGGTGAGAGGACACGCGAGGCTCCTTGGACCTCCCGAGAGGCTTTCTCGAGGCTCCTACGAAGGCCCAAGAGGGTCCCAAGAGCCTTCCAGAGTCCTCCGAAGAAGCCCCCGAGAGATGAACATCTGTGATTTCCTATGGTTTTTCTAAGTTTACTGCTTCTTTGCATGTTCACTGTTCCGACGTGCCAAGACGGCCGAAGACGCCCACAAGACCGATGCCAGACGGCTCAAGAGGCCTCCAAGCGAGTCCGAAACCGGCCCAAGACAGCCCCGACACGGCCCAAGGGGTGCCCCAGACGGCCCCAGAGAGCCCCAAGACGGCCTTCAGAAACGGCACCCCTCACGAGGATCGTAGCCTTCCAGCGCGAAACTGAGCGATCTTCGTCCGAAGAGGCACCTACGAGGGTACGCGAGGGTCCTCGGGTTGCCTTCAAAGCTTCTTAAAGGTTCCCCCGACAGCTTGAGAAGGCCCCACGAACCTCGCAGAGTTCTCTGAAGAGGGCCCCAAGAGATCAAAATCATTAATTTCCTATGGCTTTCCTAAGATTTTGGCTTCGTTGCATGTTCACTGTTCCGACGTGCCAAGACGGCCGAAGACGCCCACAAGACCAATCCCAGAGGGCCCAAGCAGCCTCCAAGCGAGTCCACAGCCGGCCCAACAGAGCCTCCAGACGGCCCAAGCCGTGCCCAAGACGGCCCCAGAGAGCCCCACGACAAGCTTCAGACAGAGCTTAAAAGGGAAAAAACATACAATTGCAACGCGCTCGGCTCCCACACGGCCACGCGAGGCCCCAAGCCCCTTCCAGGAGGCCACAAGAAGGGCCACCAGGCGCGCAAAAGGCTTATGATTTCAAGGACTCTGCACCCAGACGCCCACACGAAGCTCCAAGACTCCTCAACGGCTCCCCAGACGTGCCACGAGGCGCCCAAGAGCCGCCAAGAAGCATTCACGAAGTTCCCCCACGACGCCCCACAAGGCCTCTAAGAACCTCCACGAGTTCTCCGAAGAAGGCCTTTATAATCCTGGGGGGTGGGACCCCCCCCCCCGAAATAGGATCCTCCCCAACCGGGACTTCCGGAAACGGGACCCCTCACGAGGATCGCAGCCTCCGAGCGCGAAAATTAGCGCTCTCCGTCCAAAGAGGAAGGTGAGAGGACACGCGAGGCTCCTTGGACCTCCCCAGAGGCTTTCTCGAGGCTCCTACGAAGGCCCAAGAGGGTCCCAAGAGCCTTCCAGAGTCCTCCGAAGAAGCCCCCAAGAGATGAAAATCAGTGATTTCCTATGGTTTTTCTAAGATTTTTGCTTCTTTGCATGTTCACTGTTCCGACGTGCCAAGACGGCCGAAGACGCTCACAAGACCGATGCCAGACGGCTCAAGAGGCCTCCAAGCGAGTCCGAAACCGGCCCAAGACAGCCCCGACACGGCCCAAGGGGTGCCCAAGACGGCCCCAGACAGCCCCGACACAGCCCAAGGGGTGCCCAAGACGGCCCCAGAGAGCCCCAAGGTTTTTTTTTCTTTCTCGCATGTTCGGCTCTCCTGACCTCCGAGACAGCCGCAGATGCCCACAAGACCACCCAAGAGTGCTCAAGAAGCCTCCAAGCGATTCCACGGGGCCCAAGTCGGAACGTTTGAGCGCTCCACACCGGGTTACAGACGTGCCAGGGAGCGTTTCGACACGTCTTCCGAACGAAGCCCATACATAACGTTCGTAGAGCCTGCCTGTCCCAAAGTCGCGTCAGCACGCCTCCCCGCGCCCCCCCTGCCTCATACTTTGCAGTATACAGCTGCATTCTGGTCAGAATCCTGGGTTCGCACCCTTTTTTAAGAAATTTGGTTGCGAACCCGGGATTCGATAAGTTTCCCTCTGAAGTCCTTTTCTTGCATTCCATTTGCCCCTTTCGTTGCTTCGAACACCAAGTTCTCCCACTCCCCCTCCGCAACCTCTGCACATTCGCAATGCGAGCCCGCGAGGACCCCTCGAAGGGACCGCAGGATACCGCGAGAAGCCAGCCGATCCAAAGCTTCAAGGAACAAGATGCATGGCGCGAAGCGCCTATGCAGCCTTGTATATGTATATATATATACATGTGTGTATATATATGTGTATATGTATGTATATATACACATACATACATACATACATACATACATACATACATACATACATACATACATACATACATACATACATACACACATACAAACATACATATATACATGCATACATACATACATACATAGATACATAGATACAGTGATGCATATATACATAGATACATAGATACATACATACATACATACATACATACATACATACATACATACATACATACACACACACACATACATACATACATACATACATACATACATACATACATACATACATACATACATTTCGGAGGGCTCTTGGGCTGTGTATTGGCAGTGTTGGGCCCATCTGGGGCCACGTTCGGGCCATCAGGGCCGCCTTGGGGCCTCCCGCTCCCGCTGTGGGTGGGGCCCAGCATGGGCCTGTCCTGGGGCTCTCTTGGGCCGTCTGAGGCTCGTCCCAGGCAATTTTCGGGCTCCCTTGGGCAATCTTGGGGCTCTGTTGGAGGTCTTTTCGGCGGTTTGGGGGCGTCGTCGGCTGTCGTAGAGCGCCGGGAGGTCGAAAACGCGAGACACCAAAAAACATTTCAAAAACCAACGGAAATCAGGGATTTGAGCCTCTTCGGGCTCTCGGGATGCTTCTCGGAGCTCTCTTGAGGCCTCTTGGAGGCCTCTTGGGCTGTGTATTTGCGGTCTCGAACCCATCCTGGACCACGTTAAGGCTATCTGGGCTGTCTTGGAAGGGCTTGTCGAAGTCCCCGAGGGCTTCTGGGAGCTCTCTGGGACAGTCTGGGAGCTCCAGGGCCGCTCCAGGGTGCTCTGGGAGCGGACTGGGGAACCCTGGTCCTCCCATGCCCTGTCGTGGTCGCGGCCCCGGTCGCCCGGGCCTCGTGCACGGGGATACCTACATCTCTCTCTCTCTCTCTCTCTCTCTCTCTCTATATATATATATATACACATGGACATATACATATACGTCTGCATACACATATACATTTCCATATGCATCTACATCTACATCTACATCTACAGCTACATCTACATATGACATACATGTAAATATAGATGCACATATTCATTTACATCTACATCTACATATACATATACGTATACGTATACAAATACATATGCATGCACATGTGTATATATATATACATACAAATGCAGATACATCTACGTATACATATACGTATACATATACATCTACATAAACATAATCATATGTACATACGCATACCTAAACCTATACATATACATACACATATACATATAATTAGGCATACGCATATGCATGCATCTATATTTGAAAAATAAAATCATACCTATACAAATGCATATGCATATGTACAGATGCACCTATATATATACATTTATATGTATATATACATATTCACGTGCACTGTATGTACATGTACATGAATATATACATACACCTATACAAGTACATTTAAATCATCATGTGCATACACATATACTTGTACATATACATGTACATATACATGTACATATACATGTACATATATATATATATGTATATATATACACAAACATACCTATGAATATGCACATGCAAATACATACACCTTTACATATACATGTACATACGCATATACATATACATGTGCATATACACACATATACATACAAGTACACATATACACATACATATACATATGCATATACATGTACATATCCATCCCCATCCGTATCCATCCATCCATCCAACCATCCATCCATCCATCCATCCATCAGTTCATCCACCCATCCATCCATACATACATACAGACATGCATACATAAATACATACATTGGAAGCCCCTTGGGGTCTGCTTGGGGGCCTCTTGGGGACAAGCTCGGTGCGAAGACGAAAAACACGAATCCGGTTGACATGTACGTTTTCCGAAGAGAACGGGGCCAATTTTGCCTCTCGGGGCCCTCTGGGAGGTCAAATTGCACGGGTTATGAGGCGTCTTGGATGCCTCGTGTTGGCTGCTTGGGGCCTCGTGGGGGTCTCGGGCGCCCTCTTGGGGCGTGTTGGTCATGTATGTACGGAGAGATATGCTGCTGCTCAAGCACCAGGCAGATGCTGAGAATTGCGGCACCGCAACGACGGGGTACCAGGCTCAACTCGTCGGCATCAGGCAGCCAGCTGGGTGGATTCAAGCACCCACGCCTGTGGAGAAATGACCAGGCGGAGTATCCAACCCTCTCTAACCATATGGCGAATCTGCGCATATATATGTATATATATATATATATATATATATATGTATATCTGTATATGTATGTAAATGAGACAGCATACTACAGCATAGGTTGGCATGTTTCGATATGCAGGGGCGGGGATTCCGATTCGCATGCTGGACCGCTAACTCCATACAACGAGCAAATCAGATATGCCCCCTTCAAACGAAGCGGCCCCGACACGCCAAGACCATGCCGTCGCAAACTAAGCTCCCTCTGGCCTGCAGGCCGCAGCCCCTGACGCAGACCGAGGGCTCCTCTGAGCCCGCGTGCACCGTCAATACGCGGCGCCGACTGTCGGCTCGAGGAGCAAGAGGAAGCAAAAGAGTGAAACACCAGTGCTGGTAGTACTGTTCTCAACCCTCCTGCTCTGGGTCGTGTTTTCCAGCTTCGGAGCCGAACGCCCTAAGAGAAAATAGGAATGGCACGATTGTTGTTTCTTGGACCTCTCTTGGGGTGCCTCTCGGAAGCCTTTTGGCGCCTCTTGGCGGCATTTTGGCGCCTCCTGGAGCCTCTTGGGCCGGAAGCTCGGAATTCGAGGTTGGCTTTCTCCGTCTGGGACCCCTCTCGAACTCGTCTTGGGGCTCTCGTGGGCCGTCTTGGGACCGTCCTGGGCCACTCGTGCGCAGCCTTGGAGCGCGAAGCGCGCGCGTGGTTCTAGCTAGGATCGTCACCGTCGTCATCATGAACATCACCATCGCCATCATTCCCCCCGCCAGGGCTAATGTACATCGTTTCTGGATGCTTCTGGCCAGAATACGAAAGGAGTTTCTGTAGTTAGTCTCTGGGGAAAGTCGCGGGGAAGCTTTTGTTGTATTTGGTGTTGCGTCGCCAGGAGGTATGGGCTCCCTCCTCCTCGTGTTCCTACCTCCTCTCTGGACGTCCGATGTCGTGATGCTTTCTGTGCGCGGCCCCTGGACCTCTCGACGACTTCCTGGGGATGTGTGTTTTTTCATCCTGAGTCGTTTTCTGACGGTCCCGGGACCCTGCGAGGGGCCCCGGAGGCCGAAAATTGACCGAAACCGCCGTCGTGATTCTTCCAAGACGTCGGAGGTCCAGGTCGTGCTTCCCGCCTCCCCAGACCTCCGACGTCGTAATTTTTGCGACCTCGGGCCCAGGAATCGATTGGGAAAACGCACATGGCAAGGCAAGAAATGATGGACCCATCATTTCGCACCTGTGCCTTGATCAGTGGGACGGGCTTCGCACCGCCGCACATCACAAGACACGCTCGAGCGGATCCAGCCGTGGCGACGTCGGGGACTGCAGAAGGTCGCAAGGACACGGAATCTGAAAGGAAGAAAGAGAAAGAGAGAGAAAGAGAGGGAGAGAGAGAGAGAGAGAAACAGACAGACAGAGAGCGAAGGAGAGAGAGAGAGATGGAGAGAGAGAGAGAGAGAAGAAGACAGACAGAGAGAGAGGCAGAGAGAGGAAATGGAGAGGAGGCGAGCTTGAGTCAACGAAAGTCGCAGGGAAGGGGGCAGGGGGAAGAAGGCCAGAGAGCGCTGAAGGATACAAATACTGGAACCCTCTTGGGATTTTTTGGGGGGCCTCGTCCGGCCGCTCGCTGGGAGTTTGACGTAGCTTCTCGGGAGCCTCTGAACCTGTCGGGGGCCTCCTGGAAGCAGGTTCGAAGCATTTTGGGGGCCGATTTGGGGCTTCTCGGGGCCTCCTTTGGGCCTCTTGGGGGTCTCCTGGGGCCTCTTGAGGGGCCTCCTTGGGGCCTCCTGGCGGCCTCTTGGGGCGGAAGGCTCGAGCTTGCGGTTCGTGGTCCCCCTCTGGGCCCCCTCTTGGGCCCGTCTTGGGGCCCTCTTGGGCCATCTTGGGCGCCTCTTGGGCCGTCTTGGGGCCCTCTTGGGCTGTCCTGGGGCCCTCTTGGAAGCTTCTTGGGCCGTCTTGGGGCGGTCTTGGGCGCCTCTTGGGCCGTCCTGTAACGTCGGAAAGCCCAAAAGACAACTTTGTTGAAAATGTACGTTTTACGAAGGGAATGGGCCAATTTTTGCGTCTAGGGGCCCTCTTGGGACGCATGTTGGAGGCTTCTTGGGGCCTCTTGGGGGCGTCCTTGGACGTCTGGAGGCCATCTTCAGCATCTCGGAGCCCTCTTGGAGGCCTCTTGGAAAATTCTTGGGCCGTCTTGGGCGCTCCTGGGGCCGTCTTGTCTGACCGGGGAGGCCCCCGGCAAGCCCCGACGAGCCTCCGGACCCCCCGGAGCCCACATTTGTGGTCGAGGTCCCGGCCCCGGGCCCCCGGACCCGGTGCGCCGTTATATGTATACAGATCGGGAATCAGCCTAACATCGCCGTCTCCGCCCCCGCCTTCCGTCCGCCACCCCCACACGTCGTTCATTTCTAATCGTGCTCACTTCTAATTGTGCTCGGTTCTAATTGTTCCTGGCCCCCTAGTGGCCAAAAAGAGGCCCAGGATGGAAGAATTAGAAATGAAAGGATCTTGGCCCCCCAAAATCAAAGAACTCTCGAACAACTAGCAATGAACCATGTGTAGGGTTATTTGCAGAGGCGGCCTGTCATGTTAACGATGCCCCCCTTATCGCTGCCTGGTAAGGCTTCGGGCTGCGCACAAGCAGCCCCCCCCCCAAAAAAACCCGGCGGGCCTCCACAAGCTCCGAGCAGTCTGGGGAGAACAGGGGAGCTCCCCACGGGACGAATGAGATCCCAGCAGGCTGGGTGAGATCCCATGCAACGAGCCTCCTCCTCCTCCTCCTCCTCCTCCTCCCTCCTCCTCCTCCTCCTCCTCCTCCTCCTCCTCCTCCTCCTCCTCCTCCTCCTCCTCCTCCTCCTACGGAGAGAGATCCCGACGAGACTCACTTGCGCCTCCAAGCGCTTTACAGGAGCCTTCTAGGCGCCTTACTGGCGCCTCCCAGGCGCCCCTCCCAGGCGCCCTGTAGGCGCCCCCTGAGCGCCTCCTGGGCGCCTCCTTCTGGTGCTGCTGATGATCAGGCTGATGATCGTCATGGTGATGTTGATTCGAACGGTGATGGTGATGATGATCCATACGTCGCCGCGCAAAATTTTCCCCCGACGGACCCCAGTGGACGAAGCCGACACCACGGCAACCCACGGAGAGCCCTGCGTCCCACGCCCCCCGGTAGACGCGGCAGGCGCCGCGGCACTCCCACGGCGAGCCCACCGCGCCCCAGGCGGCGTGTACCCGGGTGGCCGCGGAGCCCTCCCCCGAGACGCAGGGCCGCGCGTCGGAACAGAGAGCGCCGAGACGTGTCCACTGCGCCTGCTGCGAACCACCGCTGCCCCGTGCCTGTCGGAAAACGTTGGGCGGACGTCTTGCCAAACCGCTGGGCAATGTGTCCTCCCGGCCATTGCAGAAGCGCTCGGGGCAGCACCTGGGGAAGGACGAGGGCGAGGAAGAGGTCAGGGAGGACACTGGGGCTTCTTGGGGCCTCTTGGGAGCTTCCTGGCAGCCTCTCGAGGGCCTCTTGGGGGCCCCTTGGGGGGCTCTGGTCGGGTCTCTCGAGGCCTTGGGACGCCTCTCTGGCTTGGGCCGCCCGTGGCCCGTCTGAGGCATTCGGAAGCCGTTGTACAAGCCTCTCTGGGCCTCGCTGGGCCGTCGTGAGGCGCTGTGGGGCTGTTTTGTTTTCTTGTTGCGCAAAGGCAAGCGCGGTGCAGCAGCGGTAGCCTGGCTGCCACACAGCATCCAAGGCGCCCCAGGATCAGAAACGGTCGCAAGACTTGTGCACTTTTGCAAGCATTGCCGTGTCGATGTCGTTTACCGAAGGATATTTAGACAATATCTGATCAACAGTGTTACGATGGCAACGAACGTACTTTGCGTCGGCAACTCTGTCTGGATGACAAAACAACAGCGGCCATCTCGAGTGCAACTCAAGCATTGCGGTCTGGTCGACCTTTTGCGGGATTTGGGCGAGCAGATCATGAGGAGCGAAGGCCTGACCAAATAGCTGGTTGCGCAAGAACCCTGAAAAACTCCACTTTCCTGGGGCAAAGGTCAACTGTGGCGGGTCATCCCAAAGCACAACCCCCTTCAGCGACATCATGTCCTTCACCCCCTTTTTGACATCATGAATATCATGAACCGCCTCCAAGTAAAATATGTCTCCCTTTTGAAACGCACAATGTCTGTTGCTGTCGACTCCTGACGCGGAAATGCTGCCAATAAACCATTTCAATCCTATTTCGCTCCAGTCCAGAGTAGGTAGTCGTAAGTACTCGCCGGGTTGCACATTCAGCTCCTGGCTTTGCGACCCTGGTTCCACAGTCAACGAGCGAAACTCCAGTGTGAAGAGGCTCTGAGGCGTAGCAAAAGATTGGCCACCCAAGCGTTTCGCGATGAACTTAAGTGACTTCCCTCCTGGATGCGTGTGAGCAGAAAAACCGTATGGATCAAACGAGCCTGCCGCTGGTGCTTCGTATTTTTTCGAGAAGACTGTAGTGGTTCCGGTTGGCAAATTGTACCCTATCTGCCCTGTAGTAACGCCTTCCCAAAAAAAGCTGCTGAGCGGCCGGAAACCGTAACGTCTATCAGCATCAATGACAACATCCATGTTAAGAACTAGCTTGTATTCCTCAAAGTCCCCCACCAATCGATCATCATCCACGCGCCATCCACAAGTGATTTTGGTCTGAGCGGGGAAATACTGTGCCCAACCGTCCGTCTCATTCAATGATTCGTAGCGCTTGAGATACTCGTTCATGCCCAGAGAGCCAGCCGCGTGAAGAAAAACAGCCTGGTGCTCAAACACTTCCTGCTCATACCACATGTCTGCGAAATTGGACCTGCACACGATGTGATGCACGTGAATGGGGGGCCACGCAAGAAGCTGGGTACCCGTCTTCTCTGTAACCACAAGGTGTGCCGACTTCAACCAGAAGCCATCGTCAGGCGTTGGAAGAGGCGTGCCTTTTTTATTCTCAATCCTCTTACCAGGACCGAGGGTGAAGTCAAACTTCAGAGTCCACTGTTCAGAACCAGGCTCTAACCCCCCCCAATATGCTGAGTGCACTCGTCGAGATAAAACTGAGGCGAATTGCTGATGTGCAGCAGTGACTTCGTAGGCGGGCAGCTGAAGGCTAGTCGGAAGCAGGCAGTGAAGCAGCACAAGCCGAAAAGCGTCCAGAACCGCGTGGTGATTGGCATCTCTGGGAAGCACTTGCACTCTTCAGCCAGAGCCCCCTGAAGAGCCAATTGCTTAAGCCAGGATGGCTGCGGGTAAGGCGCTGTGGGGCCGTCTTGGAAGTCTCTTGGGCCGCCTTGTGGCCATCTTGGGGAATTCTTGGGCTGTCTTGGATCCCTATTGCGGGGCCTCCTGGGCCGTCTTGGTCGCATCTTGGAGGCCCCAGGGGCAGTCAGAAGCCCGGGATGGTGGAAGCACGAACACCGCCACAACAAAGGAAGAAAGACAATGCTGTTGGCTTCCTCGGGCCCTCCTCGAACCTAGAAGGCCTCTTGGAGCCGTCTTGGGGCCCCTTCAACAAGATTGAAGCCGTCTTGGAGCATCCTGAGCCCATGTTGGGCCGTCTTGGAGCACGTAGAATTCCAGTGTCGCAGGGCAGTGGAACGGTAGAGGTCCCAACTGCCAGAGTGATGATGCACGAACAAATTCAAACCGAACTGACGTCTTACCCGTTGGGGTCTCACCCAGCCTGTTGAGATCCCATCCGTCCCGTTGGGCCGGCCTCAGCACCCGAACCCTGGGCGAGAAGGGCGCCGCTGGAGACCGCGCCAGGCCCCTTGGGGGCCGGCTGGGGCCGGCCGGGACCACCTGGGGGGCCTGCCTGTGAGCGGCCCGCAGCCAGCCACTGAACTGGGCATCGCTCGGACGTCCATTCCCTGTGCTTTCCTCGGTTTCGTGCGTGGCTTTTTCGCCAAATGATCAAGGATGCTCCTCGATGGTCCTCGCCGAAGGAAAAATGCACACGTCCGAGCGATGCCAAGCCCCCCACGGCCCTGCCTGGCGACGGCGACGGCGACGGCGGCGAGGGCGGCGAGGGCGGCGGAGGCGGCCACGGCGGCCGGGCGGCGGCAGCGCCGGCAGGCGCTGGCGGAGGACACGACTTGCACTGGCCCCCCCTTGCCGCCGCTCTACGCCCCCCCGCGGCGGGAACGTTCATGCTCCTTCACTCCTCCTCTCTCCCTTTCTCCTCGCGCTCTCCCTCCCTGGAGCTCCCTCGCCCTCCATCCGATTTCCGGCGCCAGCAACGACGATTCCAGAAAAATATGAGTGGGGGAAGCGCTTCTTGCCACCCCCGCCCAAGGCCTTGTCTGGCGTGAACTGCCTCCAGGCCTCCCCGCCGGCCGCCGCGGGCGGCGCGCCAGCGCTGGCGCGCGTCGCCGCCGCCGCCGCCGGCGCGGCGCGCCGCCATGGCGGCGGCCGCCCCAGGGCGGCGGGCAGCTGGCGGCGACGGCGGCGCCCGACGCCTCAGCACCTCCGCCCGCCGAGGCGGCGGGCGAGAGGGAGGCCCTCGGCCCGGCCCGCCCCCTGCAGGGCAGAGCCTCGGCCGAGCACCGGCCCCGGTGGAGCACCAGGCCTGCGCAGGGTCGGGTGCCCAGGCCGCGGATCGGCCTCGGGAGGGATGAGGAGGCGCAGGGGGAAGAGTGAGGAGGGCCAGAGGAGAGGAGGAGGAGGAGGAGGAGGAGGAGGAGGAGGAGGAGGAGGAGGAGGAGGAGGAGGAGGACCAGTGCAAACCCAAGAGTTATCAACGATGTTGGCATAAGCCCTCCCTCCAAGCTCCCTCTTCACAGGCCACTACCATGGGTCATTTCCACTCAGGGAACTGCTTCGTTGGAAGACAAACGTTTGAAGACCCTGAAGCATGCCAAAAAAATCATCTCGGAAATCCAATGCCACGGATAAACCTGACTATTGCGTCTTGACGATCCTGAATCGCGCCAGAACGCCATTCCTGGGACATCAACCCCGCGAATCAACGTAACTGTTGCACCCTCGTAATCCTAAATCTCCCCCAACACACAATTTCTGGTACGCTGACCATGGGAATCCGTGAAACTTCTGCAATATTGAAGAAGGAATGTGCGCGGCGCTAAGGCGAGAACCACATTTTGAAAACGAGCCGCCCTCAATCTGTGAAGATCTTGCAGATCATAAACGGAATGCGCGCGGCGCTACGGCGAGAGCAACATTTTGAAAACCATCCGCCCTCTATCTGTGAAGATCTTGCAGCGCGGCGCTAAAGCGAGAGCCGCACCTTAAAAACCACCCGCCCTCAATCCGTGAAACCCTTGCGATTTTTTCACGAATGTGCGCGGCGCTATGGCGAGAGCAACATTTTGAAAGCCACCCGCCCTCCATCTTTGAAACGTTTACACATTGTTGAGACGAATATGCGCGGCGCTAAGGCAAGAGCTACATTATGAAGACCGCCCGCCATTCATCTGCGGCGAGAGCCACATTTTGAAAACCGCCCGCCCTCCATCTGCGAGAATGTTTACAAAGTTTCAGCTTCCGGGTCATAAATAGTGCGGCAGTGTCGAGCGAACCGCCCGGCCCGCCCTGTAAAAACTGGCCTGGAGGTTCGACGGGGAGACATCACGCAGGAGCAAAAAAGGCATGGAGGAGGGGGAGGAGCAGAAGGAGGACAAGAATTCGCCGGCCCAACGGGCCAGGGCGTGCTAAGATCTCCGGTACCTGGTTAACAGTATTTCTAGTTCGCGCGCGCGGGGCGGCCCCTGGGGGTCCCCGGACGAAAAGTACCCCGGCAAGGTCCCGGCAAGGTCGGGCCAGAGATGCCGGAGCCCTGTTACAGGGCCCCAGGACGGGCCAAGAGGTCCCCAAGAAGCCTCCAAGACGGTCCAAGAGGGCCCCGAGACGGCCAAAGATCGCCCGAAGACGCCCAACAGGGCCCCAAGACAGCCCAAGAGGCCTCCAAGACGCCCCAAGGGCCTTCCAAGAGGCCTCCGAAGAGGGCCCCAAGAGGCCAAAATCGTTGATTTTCATTGTTTTTTCGATGTTTTTTGCGTTCTGGCTTTTTCGGCTTCCGGACGCTCCAAGACGGCCCAAGAGGCCCCCAAGACCGCTCCAAGACGGCCCACGAGGCTCCCAAGACGGCCCCGGAACGGCCCAGGAGGGCCCCCAAGACGGCCCAAGTGCCGCCCAAGACGGACCAAGAGGCCCCAAGACGGGCCCAAGAGGGGCTCAAGAGGGGAACCGAGAACTGAAAAATCGAGCCCTCCGCCCCAGAAGGCGCCCAGGAGGCCCCAAAAAGGCCCCAAGAGGCCCCCAAGAGGCCCCCAAGACGCCCCAAGAGGCGCCCAAGAGGCCCAAAAGAGGCCCCAAGAGGCCCAAAAACGGCCCCCAAGAGGCCCCAAAACTCGGCTAGCCCACAACGGTGCGACAACATGGGCCGGCGGAATGAGCGAAGCGATTAAATAAGAACCCAATGTGTTCCCAATAGGAACCCGATCGGTTGGAATCCCAGTGTATCCCATAAGATCACATATACTACTGGGTTCCAATCGGATTCCTGAAATAATCTACGACATAGGGGGACAAATCTTTTTGAAATCAAAAAGGATCAAACAAATAGCCCGGTAGGACACCCATGGCCACGAAGCTTGGGATTGCGCTTGGCTCACAATAGCATGCGAATATGTATCCAACAGGAAACGATCCGATTGGATGCCAACGAGATCCCAATCGGAACCCGATAGATAGAAGTCAGGATTCGGTTATTGTGCTATGACATTCCAATGAGATTGCCTTGGATCCTCTTAGGAACCCAATGTGACACCCTCTGGAAGGAATTGTATTCAATTCCAATAGGGCCACGACTCTGAAGATGACAATATATAGAACTCCAGAAGAGCTCAATCCCGGCAAAAAAATGTCCCAGGCTTCATGTGGTTACCTTAAGGACTCGCATTGGCATGGGCATTCTGAGCTCAAGCGTCCCCTTTGCTTCTGACATGTAATTAGGTTGGAAACCGGGGATTCAACCCCTCTGCCCAGGATTGAACCTGCTTCCGTAGATGGTCAAATTTACAAGTCACCCACACCTTACGAATCGGCGCAGGAGTTGTGAACACCTCGCGCCTCCCCTGCCCCCCTGACCTCCTGCCTGTCCCTCTCCTCTCGCGGCAGACACAGCGGCGCCCGACTCACAGGCGGCGCACGATCGTGACGACTACGGCAGTCTGCATCAGCACCAGCTCGTCGCCCTGCGACTCCACCACCGCGGGAGTCCCCGCGACTCCGGCCTCCCCTGCGTGAGCCTCGGGCTGCCCTGGCAGCTCCTGCCGAGCGTGCCTGGCGTGCCTCGCGCGGGCGAAGCCCGCCCGCAGGTTGTCCCAGTCGAACACGGCGTAGTAGCGGTGCAGGACGGGCTCGCCCAGGATAAACAGGTTCGGCCCGATGGGCTCCGGCCAGGTCACCGGGAGCAGCTTCGGCGTGCACAGGAGGTTCCCCGCGGGGGCGTCGTCGGCGCCCTCGGTCCAGGTCTCGGGCGCCTCCTTGCCAGAATTCTCCTTGTAGGAGGTGGGGCTCACCCCAACGTTGGCGTCAGCCATGACGTCCTCTTCGAGCGGCAGTTTCCGCATGTAGTTCTCTGGGTAGAGCGTGAGGTTGAAGTCCTGGAGCTCGATCTGGACGACGGGGGCCGCCGTGTAGCGGCAGTCCTCGACCGTGGGGTCGGCGGCCCTCGTGAGGAGGTCGGACACCTCCGCGTTGTGGTGCGAGGGGATGCCTAAGTGCGAGGTCCCGGAATCGAGGATGCCACGGCAAGAACCATCACCGCACATGTCCAGCAGGACGCCATCGACGCGGACCGCCAGGATGCTGACCTGCCAATAGCCCATCTCCGGCTTGGCCATCGGGACCCATGACAGTGGTTCCATCAGGCGAGCTGTGTTGTGACCGCCGAAAGCGATCTCGCTCTCCTCGCCGTCATCGCCGTCGGTGAGAAACACGCCGAAGTGCGTGTGGGCAAACTGGCGGCTCCCAGCAAGCATGTTGAAAAAACTGAAGTTCTTAGAGACGGCCAGGCTGGAGAGGCCGAGGCCGAGGATGCCGTCGAAGTCGAACAGCTCGAAGGGCCGGTTCGACATCTCGATCGCGGCGACCACCTGCGCGTCCACGCACGGCCCCGTCTCCCTCTCCGTGCCGTTGGCGTCCTTCTCGGGGACCGCTGGGCCGAGGCACACCCTCTCGCGCACAAACTCGCCAGTGATCTTTCCGGTCCCGAACCCGATCGTGACCTGGTCCCGGTTCTGGCGCGGCTGCACGGCGGTCCCGTCGAGCATGATGGCCTCGGACGTCTCCGACACGCGGGCGTCGTAGCGGCGGTGCTTGAGGCATGCGTCGCTCCGGCACTCGATGGACGGCAAGACCACGTGGCCCGAGCCGGTGTCGAACACCACCCTGAACTCCTGCGCCCAGGGCGCACCGACGTGGATGAGGCCCGAGTAGGAAGCCTTGTGAGAGACGATTTTGCCCTTCCGCCGCACGGGGTAGAGCTCCCGGCGCAGGCGGATCAGGAAGGGCTCTTGGGCAGGCTCGACCTCCACGCTGGGGGCGCTGAGGCCTGAGCACCGCGTAATCATGGAAACCAGCACGGCCCCGAAGATCACGCGGGGCACCATGCCTGCTGTGGAGGATCGTTGGCAGAACGTAGGCGACATGAATAGAATCTGGTTCAATACGCGCACAGGCAGATGCGGACGGTACTGATGAGAAGGAGAGCGCGGGCGCTCCCTCTAAGGCTTGAACCTGCTCCGGGGGATTGAACCCTTCTGCCTGGGATTGAAGCTTTCTGGCAACGATTGAACTCATCGCACGCACCCCTCCCCCCCGGCAATGACGACGACGTCGCCACCGCCACCAAACGACGACGACGACGATGACGACGACGACCGATGCACGACGACGCACGATGCACGACGACAACGACGGCGCCAACACCGCGCCGACGGCAACGATGACGACGACGACAAATACGCCGACGACGACGACACTGACACCAAAAACGACGAAGACAAAGATGACGAAAAAGACACCCACGACGACGGACCCGTAGTAGAATTTCACTTATACGCTGAATCGAACGCCAATAGTTTTCAATGGAAGGCGTGTCCAGCTCTATAATGGAATTCCATTCGAACGTACACGAACGCTGGTTAAATGCAATTAAAGCTGAATCCACATGTATACAAAATATTTACATTAATGTTGGATCAGGACTTAATGGACTTCCGTCAGACTTGGATTCAGCCTTGGTATGACTCTTACTACGTCCCTATGAGAGCTGGGCCGTCCCTCCAGTAGGATTCTACTGGTGCACGATCCAACCCTCGTGGGTTTATGCGAAAACTGGGTCGAACCCGAGTTGGATTCCATAAGAGTTGGGTCGAACCTTGGTCGGACTCTGAAAGAGTCTGTTGCTCGACCCAAAAGACGGTGTTATTCAAGCTGGATCGACCCCTAGCAAAATTCTGGTAGAGCTGGATTGAACCCGTCAAGATCGATTAAACAATTTTGTTGAAGCTGTGTCCAGCTTCCGTGGGATGTTGTTGCAGCTGGATCGGCCCCATCGTGAGACTACTTTGGGGTTGGATCAATCATTACGTCGAACCGTAATATGATTCGATTGGAGCTGGATGCAACCATGATAGGATTGCATCAAACCTAGATTGAGCCTTCGTAGGATTCCATTCGCGCTGGCTGGGTAGCTGGATCCAGCCCTGGTCGGACGATTTGTAAGCTGGACGGAACCCAATTCGGATTACAGTTGAATTCAGTCGAACCCGAATTCTCCAAACAGTACTTGTACCTATGGGCTTCTATGTGTTACTGAATAGCTAGCTTTGCTTGTCGGTCTGGCGGTTATGTTGCCGCTGTCGCCACCTCGTCGCTGGCCATCGTCAGGGCCTGTCCGTCGGTCGCCGCGTTTGTTGCCGCCGTCGCGCCCTGTCGCCGCCATACAGGCGATTCCACAACAGATATTGCACAACGTAGATCGCACAACATCGATACTACCACATCGAGTGTTGTGTATCATATTTATAGGATGTACCACCCTCCCGAAAACGGACATATCCGCACCCTTTGGGGATGCGCAATTTACACACGATTTGCCCGCAAATTCCTTAATACGAACGCGTAACATCCCAGCCAGGCCGGTATGGCCCCCCTTTCACCCTCGTCAAATGATACGATGCGGGCGCAATCGTTTCTCATGAATCAGCCTTTCGCGACGGTCCCTTGCAAAGAAACAAGTCGACATGCAAACGTGCGCGTCGTCGCGCGCACATGCCGGAATCCAGTCGCAGTCGTGGGGTTCGTAAATAGTGAAGAATCGAATGCCCCGAACACATATGGCAAGCAGTGGTGTTGCAAACTGGTTGTTCAAATTCGGATATGCGCGCACTCTTGCAAATCATTCAGACAAACATGGGCAGTTTCAAGACTTCATCACATGCGACCAATCGGGTCTAACTTGTGCGCGCATGCCGGAACACTCGGACTCCGTTGCGCTCAGGCTTGGAGGCCACGACCCATGCCAAATGCTACCACGCGGGCCATTCGCGCACGTCGGTCGCCCGCATCGATACTATCATCATCGTGTTTGCCCTTGTCCCTTCTCCACGTCGCCATGAAAACGCGACCACCCGAACCACAGACTCGAACTTAAGTGCCCGCGCGTCAGCGCGGCCTGTGAGACGCGCTGTGCAAAGCCAAGCGGTCAGCGCCACCGCGGCCGCATCGGTCGCGCCAGACTAGCTGGCCGCTCTGCGCGCGAGACTAGCTGCCCTCCCCCCCCTTGTTAAGTCTCGATTCGCGCCGACAGGAAATGAGCCATGCCTCAGGCATTCCCAGACGGCGCCAGCACGAATCGCGACGTGACTGAGCCCGTATCCCCTTTCACCCCCCCCCCGCTCACGCCCGTTATCGCCAGGGACTTGTTTTTCTCCACCTCTTCTGCTTTCTTTCGGACTTCCGCTGGCGCTATTGTGCGCGTGCGCTGAGGAATGTGATGTCGCAACGCCGATGGCTCATGACGACCCCCAGGGGCCTGTACCGAGCAGCCATCAAGGCTCTTCCTCAACGAATAAACGTATACTCATATTACAACAGCGCCTGTGGAGGAGGAGCAGGAGGAGGAGCAGGAGGGAGAGCAGGAGGAGGAGCAGGAGGAGGAGGAGGAGGAGCAGGAGAAGGAGCAGGAGGGAGAGCAGGAGGAGGAGCAGGAGGAGGAGGAAGAGGAGGAGCAGGAGGAGCAGGAGGAGGAACAGACGGAGGAGGAGGAGGAGGAGGAGGTGAAGTGGAAGGAGGAGGAGAAGGGGGACGAGGAGGGCGAGGTGACGATAACCCAGAGAGCCTGCTCCGCACGTCTGGCCAGAAGGCCACCGCGACCAGCGCCCCGAGCGGGAGGAAGCTCCCGCAGCCCAGGGCCAGGACGACGCCGAACGCCGCGGGGTGCTGTTCGGGGTCCATCTCTGCGGCTCAGCGGCTCCCCCAGCTACGCGCAAGAAGGGACCCCGGGCAAGAGTGCCCCTTTGTGGGGACCACGTGAGAGGTGGGGGGGGCCACGTAGGAGGTGGGGGTCAGCCCAGGAGGAGGGGGGGGGGGGCAAATCGAGCTTGAATCGTTGACGCATCGTCGTTGAATCCGCGAGAGGCGAGAGGCCTCCGATAGTGAAACCGCACGTCCTTGGGCGGGGTGCGCTATCGGGCCCATATCGGCGATGAATGGGCGAGTTGAAGGCAATGTTTTATTTCTGGGGGACAAAGCATGTTACCCGGGGGCGGGGGGCGCGTGGGGGGGGTTACGGTAATTGGGGCCGCGGCGCGCACCCCCTGAGGCGCGCCGCCTACGTCGTCGTCGTCGTCGTCGTCGTCGTCGTCGTCGTCGTCGTCGTCGCCGTCCAAGCCCACAGCGCCTGTGCACACAGCGCCTGTGATTGCTAAGCGTAGCCGCGAAGTCTTGTGTACACTATCTATAGAACGCGAGTGCACCACTGCCTGTGAGCACTGCAAACATGCGTGCGCCACAACGGACTTGCACACCACAGGTGCTGCTGCAGCAGAGGTTTCTGCGTACAGCGACTGTGTACACCCCGATGCCCGTGCACACCACAGGAGCAACGTGCACCGTAGCGTATGGCGAACAGTTGCGCCACAGCGCTTCCGCGCACGTCCAAGGTCCCGCCGAGGCGCGAATGTGGAAAATCCCCGGGAGCCCGAACGTATCACATTCGACATGTAAGTTGTTAGTGATTATTGATTTTTCTAGCCCGGGGTGCGGTACCCCCGTGTTTTGTGCACACCACAGCGCCTGTCTAGCGTGCGCCACGACGCCTTTGTACACCACAACTGCTTGTGTACACCGCAGTGCCTGTCTAGACAACAGTGCCTGTGTACACAACAATGCTTGCATACACGACAACACTCGTGTGCACCACAACGCCTGTGTACACTGCGGTGCTTGTGCACACCACAAGAGCCGCGTGCACCTCAGCGCATGGCAAACATTTGCACCACAGCGTTTCCGTGCACTTCCAAGTTCCTGGGGGTCCAAATCTGGAAAATCGCCGGGGGCCCGAGCATATCAAGTTCAAATGCAAATTATTTGTGATTATCCGCCGGCCCCCTTGTGGGGCCACCAGGCTGTAGGGCGAAGGTCCGCAGTTTCCTGTACCAGTTGCAACTTCCAGTTTCCACTGTTACAGTTCTGCTTCTTGCTGCCTACTGTTCCTTGTTGATGGACCGCGCGAGGGGGAGAAGCCCAAACGGGCAGGTTTAACACGCCCTGACCGTGTGCTCTGAATTGCTGGGGTGGGTAAAAATTAACACCCCTCACGCAGATCGGCGGGGTCAGGGTCCAAAAACCCAGGGGATTTGTCACATTTCCAAAATTTGGTGGCACCCCTCACGCATATCGGCGGGGTCAGGGTCCCAAAACACACGGGACTTGCCACATTTCTGAAATTTGCTGGCACCCCTCACGCAGACCAGCGGGGTCAGGGTCCAAAAACCCAGGGGATTAGCCACGTTTCTAAAATTCGGTGGCACCCCTCACGCAGATCGGCGGGGTCAGGGTCCAAAAACACATGGTACTTGCCACAGTTCTGAAATTCGGCGGCACACCTCACGCAGAACCGTAGGTTCAGGGTCTGAAAACTTCTGAAATTCGGTGGCACCCCTCACGCGGGTCAACAGGGTCAGGGTCCAAAAACAAATGGGATTTGCTACATTTCTGATATCCGGCAACACCCCTCACGCAGAACCATAGGGTCAGGGTCTGAAAACCTAAGGGATTCTCAACACTTCTGAAATTCGGTGGCACCCCTCACGCGGGTCAACAGGGTCAGGCTCCAAAAACACATGGGATTTGCTACAGTTCTGAAATTCGGCGGCACCCCTCACGCAGAAACGTAGGGTCAGGGTCTGAAAACCTACGGGATTCTCAACACTTCTGAAATTCGGTGGCACCTCTCACGCGGGTCAACAGGGTCAGGCTCCAAAAACACACAGGATTTGCCACATTTCTGAAATTCGGCGGCACCCCTCACGCAGAAACGTAGGGTCAGGGTCCAAAAACACACGGGATTTTCCACATTTCTGAAATTCGGTGGCACCCCTCACGCAGATCCGTAGGGTCAGCGTCGAAAAACAAACAGGTTTCGACACTGCTTCACGGCGGCGCCCAGACCTCATGATTTAGCTTTTGCATCTCCCATTCTCCGAGACAGGGGGCCGGCGGCTTGGGGCGAAGCTCTTACGGTTAATGTTGTCGGCCCGGGGTGCGCCCCCGTTTTTGGCCGACCATGTTTGTGTACACTACAGCGCCTGTCTAACGTGCGCCACGGCACCTTTGCACACCACAGCTGCTTGTGTACACCGCAGCGCATGTCTACACAACAACGCCTGCGTACACCACAATGCCTCTGCACACCACAACACCCGTGTGCACCGCAGCGCCTGTGTACACCACACACACTGCCTGCCTGTAAACACGACGACGCCAATGGGCACACGGTTGCTGCTTCAGCACCATGTTCGTGCACCACGGCTCCGGTGCACCAAACTGCTTGTGTACACCACAGAACTGCGTACACTTCCAGGGCCCCCGGGAGGACCGAACTCCAGAAAATCGTGGGGAATCCGAACGTATCAAATCCACTAAGTGAGCTATTTCTGATTATTGATTTTCTTGCGCAGGGAGCGGTCCCGTTGGTAGGGCCCACAGCGCCTGTGTACACCATAGGGAATGTGTGCGCAGCAGCGGATGTGTACACCGCAACGCCTGTGCACACCACAAGGTGTGACACACCGCAACGATAGTGCACCACAATGCTTCTGTACACCACCATGCCTGGGACGCCTGCGGGTACGATAACTGATGTTGCAGCAACAGTTGTACACACAACAAAGCCTGTCTTTACCATATTGCCTGGGTGCATCACGATGCCCGCGTGCGCCGCACGACCTACGTGCACTTATGCTTGCGTGCACCACAACGCCTGCATACACAACAGATCGTGCTAGATCTTGCTGCAACAGCAGCAAATGCGCGTACCAAAACGCCTCGCTGCCTGTGCACAACGCAATGCCTGTGTACGCGCTGCTCACGTGCACGTCCAGATGCCCATGTCGGTGTCGTCGTCGCTCGTCGTCGTCTATCGTCATCTATCGTCGTTTGTCGTCGTCTATCGTCTGTCGTTTGTCGTCTGTCGTCGTCGTCTCCCCGTGTCACTCTAAGCCCCAACGTTTCGCCGACGTGCATCCAAACACCAGCATGCTGTGGCGAACACCACCGCGCCGTTGAACACAGCATTCCCTGCAAACTCCCTGCGCACCCCCCCGGACCTGCACAACTGGCTAGGTTAGGTTATCCTGGAGCGGGAGGGGGGGGGGGGGGGCGAACCCGATGACCCAGGTTATCGCTGGACCCCCCCAAAAAACAGACTCCTGCGTGCATCATAGTGCACGCCCGCGTGCACAACAGACCCTGGGCTGCCTCCAGATCGCGCGCTGGATCGGGGCCGGTGCGTTAACGCTACGGGGGGGGGAGGGGGGGGTAACATGCGTTACCCCTTGGGTGGATAAAAGAGTGGTCTCTTGAGGCAGATGCATCCCCCCCTGAGCACCTCCTCCCCTACTGTTACCCTTGATCTTTGGTACTCCAGATTTCGTAATAAAGGGGAGGGGTCTCATTTCGGGGGGGGGTCTGTTCCAGGCTATCTTGGAGGGCCTGGGGGGTCTGGGGACGATGTTTTGGAGGGTTCTCCCACGGGGGAGGTCTGAAATGGCTTGTCTTGGAGGTCCAGACCCCCTGCCTTTTATTACGAAATCTGGAGTACGTGCGGAGGGGAGGGGGGGGGGGGGCCGTGAGCCCGCGCTTCACTCTGGCGAAGAGTCGCTCTTTCGCAGAGCTGCCTCTCCCAAAGGGGGGGGGGGGCGGTGCGGAAGGGAAGCTGCTGGGGCTGCGTGTCCGCCCCCGGTCTGCACCATCGGCGCCCAGTCTACTCCTCACTCCTCCTGCCTCCTCCTCCCTCCTCCTTCCTCCTCCTCCCTCCTCCTCCCTCCTCCTCCCTCCTCCTCCCTCCTCCTCCCTCCTCCTCCCTCCTCCTCCTCCTCCTCCTCCTCCTCCTCCTCCTCCTCCTCCTCCTCCTCCTCCTCCTCCTCCTCCGGACTCCCTCGGATCGACGTCGCAAGCGCGATGGGAGGCCTCCCGTCCTCGCGACCCTGGGCCAGGATGGCGTGAGCACACGTGCCAGAATTCCTGTAAACACGGGGGCGATATTTTGCGAGTCGGGAGATGCCTGGTCACCAAAATTATGAGCGTCGCCCTCGGAGTAATTACTCAGAGACAAAGAATCAATCTTGGGCGATCGAATGGCAGTTTTCTGGGGAGGGAGGCCGCGATGGAACACGCGAGAAAAAAATGAGTTGTGAGAACGAGCTCCAGACGTCTGGTTCTCTAGGCACGTCGAGGCACTGGGTTCGCCCACGTATCGAGGAATGTACTGGGCAGCTGGGACTTCGCAGACATCCCTTGCCCACCCACTCTTTTCGGGCCCTCCGCGGATGGCGGGAAGGCAACAAAAGAAGTTATACATGTGGCCCTGACCAGGACCGTGGTGGAGGAGGGAGGGGCGGAGGAGGAGAAGGAGAACAACGCAATGAATCATCGACTGGGTCACCACTGCAATGTCAATTGTGATTGCGGACTGCCTCGGCAGACGCGACGGCGAGACCCACTGCCAACTGAGAACCTGTTTCCCTGGATTTTGCTATGACGACTTCAGCGGAGGTTGCAGCCACGCTACTTACAGTGGCGTCGCGAATGAGAATGTGAAAGGACACATCATGATCCTCTCCCCCCTCTCTCCTTCATGCCCCTCGCTTTCCTGCTCCGTCTCGATCTCGTGATTCGTGATGTCAGCTTGTTTTGCCCCAGCGCGCGGCATCGCACCGATCGCACGATGGAGGCCAACGACTTCGGAAGCCGAGGCCCCCCCACCAGGCGCTAGCTGTTGAGGGAGCTGGGCACTTCATCGCACCCGCGCGCCGCTGGGGCTCCGTTGAAAACTACCCCACCTCCAGGATGCCCTCCCGGCTCAAGGACGAGACACAAACTGCTCCTGTGAGACAAGAAACCTGCGCCGTGCTAGTGCTGCGCGGCTCCGGTGCCGTGTGCTTTAGGGCGCCTCGCCCTGCCCATCGCCACCTGCGTGTGGTCACGTCGCTGCCCATCTGTGCGCGTGAGGCAGTGCCGCGGACATATGCAGCTACACGGAGGGCACCTCTGCGAAGACGTCCTTGTGCGGCTCAGATAGAAGCCGTACTCGACGTCGAGATCAGGTTGCATTCTGGCGTCGATCGTATTGTCGCCTGTGCGGCGGTCATCTTGCATCATGTCAGAAAATGGTGGGATGTCAGCGGCTGCGTGGTGCTTGGTACTCCATCGGCGCCAATGCGTGTGTACAATGAGCCGTAGCATGTGTCGCTTGACGCGTCGGGTTGTCAGTGCATGACAACAAGTGCCCTTGAGGTGCAGCCGACCATGACAATTGATGCCTCTGGGCCGCTAAACAGTCGGAGTCTGCTGCAAATATGGTACTAGCGTTAGCTCCAGGTGTGGAAAAGACCCATCATCTCACTGCGATGACATTATGTTGAAACCCACGGCTTCAGGCTGCGCCAGCGCGTCGCGGCCTCGGGCGAACCGTTTTGCTCTACACATTGCGAGTAGCAAAGGAATCCAAAGAGCCCCTCACTCATCCTCCGCCCACCAGAAAAGCTCCCCGCTCGAGTTCGCCTGGATTTTTGAAGCGAAGCCTGCCTCAAGCGTGCATTGTCTAGAGACCGCTGACAATGTCAGCAGGGTGCCTTTGGAGACGGGTCGTTTGGCCGTTCGCGCCAGGTTGTTGGGCCCCACAAGATAATGCATGCGCAAACGAAAAACCTTTCAATTCTCGGCTGCGAGCGAGAGTGGAAGCGAGGGAGAAGGCCTTCTCAGAAGGCGGCGGGACTTCTCAGAAGCCCTCGCGCCTTCTGAGAAGTGTTCCACGTCTTGGAGGAAGGCTTAGAAAACTTCTCGGAAGGTCTGCCGTCTGAGAAGGCCCGCCCCCTCCTCCCTTCCACCCCGGGCTTGCCGCCGAAATTCAACCGAGCGTCCATGCCGTCCTGCTGCCCCGCTGGCACGCTCACCCGCCCCACCACCCAGCACGCCGCCAGCCCTCTGCGGCCGCTGTCGAAACGATTGCCTGAAGGCCGGGCCCACCAGCGCCGCCCGACACGTCGGGGTAGCGTGGTGGACGACCTCCGCATCGAGGTGGGCAGCACCCACCATTCCTCCATTCCTGTTTCCGCCTCCCTCCTCCTTTCTCCCTCCCTTGCTTCCTACCCTCGTCCCCTCTCTGTGAGCAAGGGGTTACCCAAAATGGTTTGACCGTGCGCCCGGGCCAGGCGTTTTCTGGATGGGGGCGATAGCGAGAAGACATCCGATGGTTTGGCGGATGCAGCCCTGAGCACCACCACGATTGAGGAGCAGGAGGAGGGGGAGACACCGCGACGAGCCATCGACTCGGGCATCTACTTTTCAGTCGCTGGCGAGGCGGCAGGGCCCGGCCACTGAGACGGCGAGACCCGCTGCCAACCGGGTGCGGAATGGCGATGAGGACCAAAGAACATCACAAGACACATGGCTGGAATGCTACAACCGATACCTACGGACTTCGCACGATTATGTTTCCGCTTGTCTCATAACAACCACTGTGGCGCGCATACTCTTGGGATCTGCCAATCACGAAGCGAATGCCTACACGACGCCAGTGTCCTGTCACCACCTTTTTTTTCAGACCCGAACGCGCGGGGTCCAATCAGTCGCGACATCGTCAAAAGTCGCGCACGCTGGTGCCGCAGCCTGTCAACAGCACACGGACGAGGAAAGTAGATGAGAAAAAGGATGGGGGATGAAGAGGGAGGACGGAGGAGGGGGATGATGGATGACGAGGAGGATAAAGAGGATGGTGGGTGAGGAGGGGGATGAGGAGAGAGGATGGAGGCGGGGGAGGTGGAAGATTGGAGGTGGGAGTTGGAGGACGGGAGAGGGTGTAGAGGTGGAGCCGAGAGGAGAATGAGGGCGAGGGCGAATGGACGACGACGAGGACGAGGAACGGGAGGACAACTGAGACGAGCCATCGACTAGGTAGGTCATCGCTTTTCGGTCGACGCGCCACAAAATCCAACCGCGAGTGCAAACATGAAGTCGGTGTCCTCCTCCTCCTCCTCCTCATCATCCTCCTCCTCCTCCTAAGTCGAGCTCCTCCTCCTCCACCTTCTCCTCCTTCTCCTCCTCCTCCTCCTCCTCCACACGTGATTGGCCTCCACCTCCTCCCATTCCTCATGCTCCTTCTCTTCTGGTCTTCCGGGAGTCTCCTCACCCTCGTCTCCTGGGAGTCTCCTCTCCCCCCTACTGTCGGAGTCACCGCTCCCCCACTTGTCTCCTCCACTGGACGCTTCCTCTCCCCCCTCCTGTGGGGGACCCCGAGTCTCCGCGATTGCCTCATCTTCCTCCCTCCTCTGGAAGTCCACTCCTCCTCCTCCGCCTCCTCCTCCTCCTCCTCCTCCTCCTCCTCCTCCTCCTCCCTCCTCCTCCTCCTCCCTCCTCCCTCTCCCCTCCTCCCTCCTCCCTCCTCCTCCTCCTCCTCCTCCTCCTCCTCCTCCTCCTCCTCCTCCTCCTCCGCCTCCTCCTCCTCCTCCTCCTCCTCCTCCGGCCTCCGCCTCCGCCTCCGCCTCCGCCCGCCCTCCTCCTCCTCCTCCTCCTCCTCCTCCTCCTCCTCCCTCCTCCTCCTCCCTCCTCCTCCTCCTCCTCCTCCTCCTCCCTCCTCCTCCTCCTCCTCCTCCTCCTCCACCTCCGCCTCCTCCTCCGCCTCCGCCTCCGCCTCCGCCTCCGCCTCCGCCTCCGCCTCCGCCTCCGCCCCCTTCTCCTCCTCCTCCTCCTCCTCCTCCTCCTCCACCTCCTCCTCCTGCCACCGCATGGTTTTTGCGACCTCGGAGGCCCCAGACGCCCGGCGTCCTCGGAGAACCGCCCGAGTCCCAGAGAAGGGCGGTCACCTCGAACCCTCCCTGACTCACCGCACGGTTTGGTCACCGCACTCTCGTGTCGGCTGCAACTCTCGTCGTGGTAAGGCTCCGGCTTGCGCACAGACAGCACCCCCAGGCAGTCCCGTGTGGCCTCAGCATGCCTTCCGAGCAATCCCAGCTGGCCTGAACAGGCCCCCCGAGTAGCCTGGGGCGGTCTCAACATCCCAACCCAGGAGCCCCTCAGGGGCGCCACCGAAGGCCAGCTGGGGCTACTCGGGGGACCTCTTGAGGCCAACCAGGACTACCTGCGGGGCTGTCTGTGTGCAGCCCAAAGCCTCACCATCTCGTCGCCCGAAATTTGAGGGCTTCAGCTATACACCTACACCGATCCCGCCCAGGCTCATCCTGGGACCAGGATCGGCTTATCTACCTTCCCGCCCAAATCAGGAGGGCGCATACACCGATCTTGGGCCCGGGATGAACCTGGCTAGGATCGGTGCAGGTTCGGGGAGACGTAAGACTCGGGTACGGGGGACTCGGATTGGCCTGACGGGGGCCGTCATAAGAATGACGAGACCCAATCTGAAATTTGACGCGGGCTCCCGCTGCAGACATCCCACGCAAAAGTGGACCGTCAAAATCCATGACGCGCTCGTCAAAAAAACTTCGGCTAACCCGAGTCCCGGCTTACTCGAGTCTTACGTTTTCCCGACAGGTGTAACTGTCCGAATGGCGCCAAACAGCGCGCCCCATCGCGTGCAAAGCGGCTATACTGCATCTCCCTCACGTGGCGCCATGGAGCGCACTTGGCCGCTAGGTTAACGCTATTCGGCGCTATTGGGCGCTATTTGGCGCCATTGAGCGCTAGGGGGCGCCACTCTCCGAAAATTCAATCCAAGACGAATTCGCCGGCCCAACGGGCCAGAGGCGTGCTAAGATCTCCGGTAACTTGTTAACAATATTTCTAGTTCGCGCGCGCGGAGCGGCCCCTGGGGGCCCCCGGACGAAAAATACCCCGGCAAGGTCCCGAGAGAAGCCCGGGAGAAGCCACCAGACCACTCCAGGGGAGGGTATTTTTCGACACCCCTCACGAGGATCGTGGCCTCCGAGGGGGGAGCCGCAATCGACTACCCCCAAGAGCCCCCCAAGAGGCCCTGGGGGCCTCCAAAACGCCGCCAAGGAGCCCCAAGAGACTCCCAAGAGGTCCCCAAGAGGCCCCCAAGAGGCCCTAAAGAGGGCTCCAGGGCCGGCGGCATGAGCGAAGCGATTAAATAAGCTCTTCCGCGATGTACTATCCAATATTCGGTTGGCGTTGCAAAGATAGCGTGCAACATCGATCTCCGCAAAGCACGCTATCCCAGGGCCCCTCGCGAGGGCATCCTCGGTGCACATCATCCCCCAGCCAGGGCGTCCTCGGTGCACGCCATTCCCCAAAGTCGGGGGATAGCAAAGGATCAGTGGGCTGGCGGCGCCACATCGCACGCTATCTCTGCAACACCAACAGCACGTCGCATCGGCGAGATCACGAAATCGAATCGGCTCGAAGCGGCCGCAGGCAGTGTTGCATCGGATCGATCTGACCGAGATGGGCTCTGAGGAGGAGGAGGAGGAGGAGGAGGAGGGAGGAGGAGGAGGAGGAGAGCGAGGAGGGGGAGGAGGAGGAGGAGGAGGAGGAGGAGGAGGAGGAGGAGGAGGAGGAGGAGTTGGCGCCCTCCGACGGCAGAAAGGTCGCCCCGGCGAGGCGGCGCTCCGACGAGCGGCCGGGTCGAGCGCCCGCGGGGCCCTTGCAGGCCTCACCCGCCCGCGGCGCCGGCGGGGGCGCCGAAGCTCGGCGGGGAGGGCGCAGGAGCGGCGAGCCAGTGCACCTGCGGGGCCGCAGGCACATTTTTTTTTGTACCGCATTAGAGCAAGGGATATGTCGACCCCTATCCCAGGCTTCGTGGGGTGTCCGAACGGACCAGAAATTTGGGGCCCAGCCCTGGGATATACGATGGGGGGGTGCCCATCCTCGATAGGGGTGCGTCCGAATAGCCCCCTTGGGGTGTATCCCAAGGTTTTTCAATTTTTCTGAACGGCCAAACTTTTTGGGCGAAACTCGGGGATTCGGGGAGAAACATCGCCTGCGACATTAGAGCAAAGGATGGGATCAGCCCGCAGGCCGTGAGGGGAGAACACGACGTCCAACAGACTACACGCCCAAAGTCGCGGATAGGCCGGTACACCCGAAATGAGGATGTCAACCTTATGTCGTTCCGGCTTGCCGCCTCTGGCATGCACACGAAAGTGGACAGATAGAAAACATAAAGTGGCTGGCCGGGCTGACGTCACCACGTGGCCGCAGGCACAATACTGCGGGGTGGCGATGAGGAAGACGTAGCAAAGGGATGAGAGAAATGAGAAGCATGAGAAGACGAAAAAGACAAAGGCGAATAATAACAAGAATAGTATTCAGGGCAATCAGAGGAGGGGAAGAGGAAGAGGAAAAGGGAGAGAAGGAAAAAGAGGAAAGAGAGAACAAACAAGGGCAATAGTAATAATCATAACACATACTGGTAATCAGAAGAAGAAACACGCCAAGCGTTTTCGCCCAAATTCATCCCCTGGGACCATGCCTCATGAAGATGGCGTCCAGGGTTCCAAGCGTGATTGTGTCACGATGTTGCGAGTGCTTCGCTACGTCGGGTCTCGGGAAGCGGCGATGAACGACGGGAACGAAGCGGGAGATATTAAACAAAATAGTTCACTGCCGCTGAGAAGAAACTTTGGGAGAGGACGGCCAAAGAATCGCAGCGACGATGACGACGTCCACCAGCAAGCCTGGAGCCCAGTGTATCCGTCACCGTGCCTCTGGGCACGGAGTGGGCGTTTCCTCAAGTCCTTTGCCCGATCCCTGGAGCCTCAGTCCTCAGTCCTGAAGAGTCTTCCGGGGGACCAGACCTGAAAGTCCGACCTCTGGCGGGGCCTTCCGCGTGCCCCCTGGGCTTTGGGAAGTGTTGGCGCGTGAATGTTCGGACCCAAGGAGGGCCCCAAGACGGGCCATCAGGGCCCCAAGAGGCCCCGAAGACGGTCCAATAGGACCCCGAGTCGCCGAACGATCCCTCCAAGGCCCCCAGACGGCCCAAGAGGCCTCCGAGGCCCCAAGAGGCCTCCAAGAGGCCCCACAAGAGGGCCCCAAGAAGCATCAGTTATTGCTTATCCTTGGGCTTTTGAATGTGGTTGGCGTTCTCGCCTTTTCGGTGTCCCGACGCTCCAAGACGATCCAAGAGGCCCGCAAGATCGCACCAAGACGCCTCCAAGAGGGCCCCAAAACGGCCCAAGAGGACCCCATGACGGCCCAAGATGTGCCCAAGACGGCCCAAGAGGGCCCCAAGACGCCTCTAAGAAAGGCCCCAAGAGAGGGAACACGCCCTAAGAGGCCCCCAGAGGCCAGAGGCGCCCAGGAGGCCCCAAGAGGCCCCCAATAGGCCCCAAGAGGCCCCCAAAAGGTCCAGAAGACTCTCCAAGGGGCCCGAAACAGCACCCAAGAGGCCTCAAAACCGCCTCCAAGAGGCCCGCGATTGGCCTCCCACGAGACCCCAACGACATTCAAGAGGCGCCATACCCACCGCCCAGGCACGGTGGCGGGATGGGCCGAGGGCCATCAAATGCACGATCGTACAAAGGCGCTGCCGCGAGACGCCCCCCGCCCCGGCATGTCTGAACCGTTCGACGTCGGCCGGTTCCGCAAGGCCGAAACCATCATCGGGCATGCTCGCGCCGTGATGACGTCGGCGTCGGTTTCTGCGAAGCGGGCGGTGGATCGGGGGGTGAGATCGAAGTGGAACGGAGAGCCTCCCTACCAGAAAATCGATTTCGGTTTCGTGTTCGCGCCGTGCGTGCGGGCGAGGCGAAGCTGCGTGGGCGGGGGAGAAGACATGATCCGAGAGCGTTTCTTTATGTTCGGCGATGACAAGCGTCATGGGGGGGGGGGGGGGGCGGGGTATGACATAACGTACCCCCCCCCCGCCGTGTGGTTCCGGCACCACAGCCGCGCCCGCGCGCACGACGCCACGACCGACAAGCGGCGCGACGACAACGACGCGAGCAGCATGTAGGTGGCGATCTGCCCCCCTGCGCCTGTGTACACCACAACGCTCGCGTGCACCACAGCGCGCGTGTACACCACAGCGCCTGCGTACAACGCAACAACCGTGTTCAATTCAGCGCCTGTGTACACTGCAGTGCTTGCGTACACTACATCGCCTGTGTACATGTGCACACCGGAGGCAACCATGTGCAACACAGCGCCTGTGTATACCACAATGCTTGCGTGCACCGCGGCGCCTGTACACGCCAAAGCGCCTGTCTACACCACAGCATCCGCGTGCAACGCAGCGATACCACAGTGCCTGCGTGCATAGGACAGGTAGAAAAAAGCCTGTACATGAGGATCTGCTGCGCAAGCGCCACGCCAGGAAAGTCCTGATAATCGAATGCGACGTTTTTCTCTCTTCCCTTCTCCTCCACTTCCACCTCCTCCTCCTCCTCCTCCTCCTCCTCCTTGTTTCTCTTCCTTTTCCTCCTCCTCCTCCTCCTCCTTTTCCTCCTCCTCCTCCTCTTCCTCCTCCTCCTCCTCTTACCCCCTGTCGTGCAGGTTGGCGCTACAACGCACGTGCGCAACTCAGCGTGCACCGCAGAATGGTCGATTGAATCGGCCCCTTTGGTTCTCGGACGGCCGATTTGGCTGAAGCCTCCTGGACGCAGATGGGAGGAGTTACGGTGATGCGGGCGAACTCGTAGATTCCCCTGGCGCTCCCTTGTCCATAAGGATTATTTTATGGTGTTTTCGGTGGAATCCACAAACGCTCCATCTTATCATAAGGATTCCTTCTAACACTCTACATGCAACAGTGGGGCTGTGTTGCACACGGTTGCTGTGGTGCACACAAGCGCCGTGGTGCACACAGGCACTGCAATGCACGCAGGCATTGTGGTGTACACTGCTGTGTTGCTCACGGCTGATGTGATGTACGCAGGCGCTGTGGTGTACACAAAAGCTGTTGTGCCCGCGCGCGCGGTGGCACAAACTGACGCTGTGTTGCACGCGGCTGCTGTGGTGTACATCGGCGGCGTGGTGTACACAGGCGCTGTGGTGGACGCAATCACTGAGGTGTACACAGGCGTTGTGGTGCAGATCGCCACCTACACGTTGGTGCCACCTGTCCTCCGTTTTTCCTAAGCATTCCCAGGCGCCGCGACGACGACGACGACGACGACGACGACGACGGAGACGACAACGACGTCGTCGACGACGACGACTGCGGACCAAACTCCTATGCGGATTTCCACGCGGACACCTACGCGGATCCCAATACGCACGGCGGCAGTGCCCTGAGCGCACTGGGGGGGGGGGGAGCGTTACGTCATAGGGGGGGAGGTAGGGGCGGGGGCCATGACGCCCGTCATGCCCCAAGCAATAAAGAAATGGTCTCTCCTGTGGCTGGGCCGCGGCTGGACCAAAAAGATCTCCGCCCGGCAACCGGTGGCGCGCGGTGTCCCGCCGGTGTCCCGCTGGTGTCACGCTGGTGTCCCGCCGGTGTCCCGTCGTGCCTAGGCCGCGGCCGGACCAAAAGGTTCTCTGCCCGGCAACCGGTGGCGCGCGGTGTCCCGCGGGTGTCCAGCTGGTGTCCCGCTGGTGTCCCGCCGTTGTCCCGTCGTTGTCCCGTGGTGTCCCTTGGTGAGATCGACAGTGAGATCGATAGTGGGATCGATAGTGAGATCGATAATGAGACCGAAAGTGAGATCGATAGTGAGATCTATAGTGTGAGATCGATTGTGAGATCTATTGTGAGATCGATCGTGATATCGATAGTGAGATCAATAGTGAGATCGATAGTGAGATCGATCGAGTGGGATCGACAGCGAGATCGATCGTGGAATCGATAGTGAGATGAATATTGAGATCGAAAGTGAGATCGCTAGTGAGATCGATAGCGAGATCGATGGTGGGATCGATCGTGGGCTGGATAGTGAGATCGACAGTGAGATCGATTGTGTCCCGTCGGTGTCCCGTCGGTGTCCCGTGGTTTCACGGCGCCGGACGCCCGCACCCGTCGGTGCACACGTTCCGATGCTCGACCGCGCGGGCTGGAAAAGCAGCAAGCGTGCGCCATCCCCGAAAGGCTCCCAAGAGCCCCCCAAGAGGCCCCCAAGAGCCCCCCAAGAGGTCCAAAAGACGCGCCCAAACGGCCCCCCAAGCCCTTGCAAAATGAACGAAATAATGTCTTATTTCGTTGGTTCCCGGGGGAGGGGGGGGGGAATGGTACCAAAGCGCCCAAGAGCGAAAGGTGACGTAAACAACTCGACACCAAGGCTCCCAAGAGCGAGCGGCAATGCAACGATCTCCACTGGCATCGTCAGAACAACAATCACCACTGTTGCCCATTGCTGGCCCCCTCCCCCCCAACCTCCTTATCACCCGCAGGGTGGTCGTATAGGTATGGATATGTTTCGGCCCCCGGGGGCCGGAATATGTCCATATCCACCGCCTGCCGAGTCTCCGGAAACTGACCCTCCAGGCGGTGGTCATGTATAAATTCCCGCCTCGGAGTTTCTGGCACCGTGTGTATGGATCCTCCCCGAAATGCTGGCTTGCTTGCCGCGCCAGCATCCTCAGGTGAGAACTCTTCCACTTCTGAGTGGCCTGTTCTTCCCCCCCCCCCGCGGCCACCCGCTCGGCCCTCTTCCCACTCTTGCATGCTGACCAATTCGCTTCTCAGTGCCCTCGTCTAGCTCTAGCGCTGGTGCAGCCAACTCTGCCTCGCCGCCGGCGACAAAAGTGTGGGATCATCCATGATCGATCGCGGCTTTGCGAGTGCAGGGGCCGTTCGGCCGATTCTACGGGGCCCAAGCAAACATGAGGCATGTTCGAGTCGAGATGACGTCGGCGTTGCTTTCTGACATCGCGTGGATCCTTCACCGCGGAGCGACCGCGGCTTTCCGAATGCGCGGGCCTCTCGATGTCGGCCGACTTCGCAAAATCAGACAAGAACATGTTGCATATTCGAGTCGCGATGACGTCGGCGTTAGATGACGACACTGTGCGGATCGTTCATGCCTGAGTGCGCTGACCGTTCGGCCGATTCTGTGGGGCACAAGCAAAACTATGGCATGTTCGAGTCGCGATGGTATCGGCTTTAGATTCTGACACCACGCGAATCCTTCACCGCTGAACGGCCGCGGCTGTCCGAGTGAGCGGACCGTTTGATGTTAACCAATTTCGCAGGGTCAAAAACAAACATGTAATATGGCAAGTTCGCGATGATGTCGGGGTTGGTTTCTTACACCACGTGGATCGATCATCCCTGGACGATCGCGCAAAAGCACGAATAGTTTTATCTCGACTGATCCTGAGCCACTGGCAACATTCAACCCTCAGCTCCCACGGTAGAGTCGCCGACGCGTCCAACGCGGCTCGAACCAGCAGTACAGCAATGGCGCATCCAAGTACCTTCGGTTTGTCGCTTTCCTCCTCCCCGTCCACTTCTCATCCGTAGATGTGTTCATCATTAGTATACACTGCTGCGACAAGTCGGACGCTCCCTCACGACATTGGGATTCACAATCACCTTCGCTCATGATCACCACGATTCGTCTTGGCAATCGAGATACTGTTGACAATGCACTTGTTGCCAGCATTATCGTCTTCCCCGCCACTGCGGAACACAAAACAGGTTCAAGCGCTCAACCACGTCCATGTATATGACCCCCCCCGGCCGCGAAGCCGCCCTTGTGTCACGAACGCTCTATCAATAGATGCGCTATCTCGACACCCATGAGAGCTCATGTGCGCGTACGTCTTTGCTTCCTTCCTAAAACCACCATTCCCCCTTTCCGCCTAACTCCGCGTTGCCACATCCCCCCTCCATCCTCCTCGTCCCACCCCCGCGCTGAGGGCGAGAGCACACACTTCCGAGGTCGTGACCTCGCAGGGACTGTCTTTGGTGTTGGCCTCAGAGGGCATGGAAACGGCCATCCAGAGGACGCAGGGATCGCGAGGAACCGGGCGTGGTATGTGGCCGTCTCTTGCTCCGCGCTGCTGGAGGCCCAGAGATGGGTACAGTCAGGTGACTATTTGTTGGTAGTGTGAGTTTACTGAGCATGCATACCATATCAGGCAGGTGTTGGGTCCAACGTCATATTCTCAATCTCATTGCATCCGTAATCAGCCAAAGCGGCCGAAGAAGACCGAGGACGACGAGGACGACGGCGACGATGGTCGGGCCGACTCGGGACGACGACCGACGAACAACAACGACTGGCGACAACGACGAACCACGGCGGCGGCCGACTCACAACGAAGACGACGACCGGGGGGTGGAGTCGGGGTCCGTCTGGGACGCTGGGGAGGTTCAGTCGAGGGTACATTCTTGATGGGCCTGTTTTCCACCACCACCACCACCATAAGTTGGAGGGGGAGGGGGTCCTCCTCCTCCTCCTCCTCCTCCTCCTCCTCTTTCTCCTCCTCCTCCTCATCCTCCTCATCCTCCACCTCCTTCCCCTCAAGTTATGGTGGTGGTGGTGGAAAACAGGCTCATCAATTCTGGTACATTCGGAGGTTCGTTCATTCGCGGTTCATTCGGCCCCAACGGGTGGTCTCAAAACAGTAAGGTTCTGCAGGATTCGGAGCCCGAGGGGGTACATTCGCCTGCAACCGCCCCTCCTTGTATCGATGTGACTGGAAGCGGAAACCCGCCTCCTGGGAGGCAGGAGAAGGGGGGCGAGGCCGCGTCCTCGTCCATTCTAGAATTTTACCCAGCCCGCGCATTCTAGAATTTGCCTCGGGTGGTCGCGGTCGGCCTTCTAGCTCTGGACCTCTAGAATTTGACGACGGCGTCCGTCTCGTCGTCGTCGTCGTCGTTCGTCGTTGTTGGTCGGTCGGTCTGTCGTCCTGGTCCTTCGGTCGTCGCCATCGTTCGTCGTCCTCGTCGTTCGGTCGTCGTCGGTCGGTTCGACCGGTCGGTCGGGCGAGCGAGCGGATTCAACGTCCGTCGCATGAGTGGGCAGCCAGAGCGAGCAACGCCTCCACCACGGCCTCGAGGAAGTACAGTCGGGGCGTTGACCTAAGGAACCCTAAATAAGGAACGAAGCCCCTTTTTGTCATAAGTTAACCTTCGACTTCCCACCGAAAACTTCAGGAAAACATTGGGCAAAGTGTGGAACAATGAAGGAACACCGAGCCCCTCCCCAACGACAAGGGTTCCTTCTTCAGCGCCCCGACTGTATAGTCATCGGACGGGCACACCCCGTCAAAATTCGCACCAGCAACTCAGCCACCCGACTGCAGGACGACAGCTGCACGCCGACGACGAGGTGGGCCGGGCCGCTCCTGGGCCCGGGATCTCCCTGTCGGTGCATGTAGCCCCAGACATCCGAGGTCTTGATTGCTGCACTGCGGGGCCCCCGCGAGTCCCGACCCTCACATCGGGGATGGGCAGACCTCCCTTTAGTAAAACGTGGTTTAGTGAAACGACATCGGGCCAAAACCTGGCGACCACAAGCCCGGAAAATGACGGCCGCGGCGCCCTCTCGAGAACCGAAAACGGACAATTCACTGATCGACGTGTCAGGGTAGGAGGTCTGTCCACCCCCGATCACACCCCAGGGCCGGTGCTCCGTCTGGAATCCAGAATCCCTTCTGGACGGGCCCGGCGAGGGCCCCTGGAGGCCGAAAGCGGCCTGAGACCTCCCGTCGCGACTTGGGCGTTGCGCAATGGGGGGTCATAAATGGGGGGGTGGCGAGGGTTGTCCGAAACGATACCCAAACGGCACCCAAACGAGCCCTATGGGGCTCCGGAGGGGCCCGAAAGGGGACCGTTTCTGACCCCCTCCATTTACGTCCCCCCATGAAGTCCCCCCCGACGCTTCATGACGCGAGGCACGTCCGGGAGGGGTGCAGTGGAGGAGGAGGAGGAGGAGGAGGAGGAGGAGGAGCAGGAGCAGGAGGAGGAGGAGGAGGAGGAGGAGGACGAGGAGGAGGAGGAGGAGGAGGAGGAGGAGGAGGAGGAGGAGGAGGAGGAGGAGGAGGAGGAGGAGGGGGGGGGGGCCCGCTGCGCACCCGCAGGAGCGTCCGCAGGCGCAGGCCGCCGCTGCGCAGCACGCTCGCGGCCTCGGCAGGCGCGCGCCCGGCGGAAGCGCGGCAGTCGAAGGGGGGGGGGAAGGGGGGGGGCGCAGAGGCGGCCAGCGACCACACGTCGGAGGAAGAAAAGGTACCTCATACCTTTACCCTTCGCCCGATTTCACCCTTTTGGGCCTCCTGGGCCTCACTCGTCGTCAACGCTGGATTCGAATCGAAATCCGGGTCAGAACGCACCCCGGGAGAGGTCCGGGGGGTAGCGGTATCGGTACCTCTTGTTTTCCCCAAGAGGGAGGCGGAGGAGCAAGAAGCAGGAGGAGCATGAGCAGCAGGAAGGAGCAGGAGAGGGGGCAGAGGAACAAACCCCAGAAGTCCCCAGAAGAATCCATGTTCACTGCTGGAGGTGCCCCGTTGCAAGACAATCGTCTGAGACTCCTCACTGGTGCCAGAGCACAACTCTTAGGACTTCAGCGCGGCGAATCAATTTTAATGTTGCGTCCTGACGACCCTGCATCATGCCAGAACACCCTACGTGAGACTCCAACACCGCGAATCAGCGGGACTGGTGCGCCCTGACAACCCTGATTCGTGCTAGAACACCAGTTCTGGAATGTCAATCATACGAATTCCACTAAGCTGTTGTAGACACTGGTAGGACGAATATGCGCGGTGCTAAAGCGAGAGCCGCATTATGAAAAGACCCTGCCCTCCAATCTGGGAAACTCTTGCAAATGTTTTTTAAAAAGATGCGCGCGGCACCAAGGCGAGAGCCACACTTCGAAGACCACCCGCCCTGCATCTGCGAAGCTCTTGCAAACTGTCAAGACGCATGTGCGCGGCGCTGAAGCGAGGACCCCATATTGGAAGCGGCCCGATACTCCTCCGCGACGCTCTTGCGACCGTGTAAGGCGAATGTGAACGGCACTGAGATCCACATGTTGAAAATGAGCCGACATCCGTCCGTCATACTGCTGCAAGCCCTGAAGACGAACGCGCGCGGCGCTGGGGCGAGAACCACAAGTTTGAAAGACGGCCCGAGCTCCGTCCGTGAGACTCTGGCAAACGTCTGAGGCGACCGCGCGCGGCACCAGAGCGAGAGAGCCATAGTTTGAGAGCGTGGAGCTCTCTCGCAGATGCGTACGACGATGGTGCGCAGCGCCCAGGCGAGAGCCACATCTGGAAAAAAAGAAAAAGAAAAAAAAAAAAAAAAAAAAAAAACGCTCTACCTCCTCTGTGAAACTCCTGCAAACGTTTGAGGCGAACGTGCGCGGCGATGAGGCGAGAGCCACACTGAAGACAACCAACCCAGCCTCCACCTGTGCAACTTGTGCGAACTTGTAAGACGAGTGTGCGCGGCGCGAAGGCGAGAGACACATCTTGAAAAGGACACACCCTCCATCCCTGAAACTCTTGCAAATGTTTAGAAAGGATGCGCGCGGCACTAAGGCAAGATCCACATTTTGAACAGAAACCGCCCTCAATCCTTGAAACTGTTGCAGAACTGAAACTTCAGAATCATGAACGGTGAGGGCAACTCAAGCGAAACGCGCGGCCTGCCCTACCAACACGTCTCGGGGTGAGACTGGGAGGAGTTATCCATACGGAAAAAAGGATCAAGCAACTGGAGGGGGGGGAGGTCATCAGGCGACGGGTTAGATGTCTCACTGCGCCTGCCTAGCTACCTGCCGCTGCTGCCACCGCCCTAGCCCATGTACCTTGCCCGCATGCGCACAACCAACCCATAGCCCCTCCCAGGGGAGGCGGCGTGAGGCGCTGGGCGAGACACTCCCCCCGAGCAAACCCAGCCGGGAAGGGCAGAACGCACTTGCGAACCCACAGCTCCCCCACCCCCTCCTCCCCTCTTTCGCTTTTCACTATCATCCTAATTCGCCCTCCCTCTGAACCTGGGCTCCGCCGTCTCCACGGCCGTCCCCTGGGGGTCCCCCTCCACCCCCTCGACATCCACACAACCAGCCCATTGCCGCTCCCGGGGGAAGCGGCGTGAGCGCCGACACTCGCGCCGCGCCAAGCGAGGCACTCCCGCAGGCAAACCAAGCCGTGCAGGGCTGTGACAGGGCACGCCCGCTGGCCCACAGTGTAGGAGTCTGAGGTCAAGCCTCAGCGTGAGGCACGGTCTGACACAAGGCTAGCTGGCTAAATTGTGCCCATCAGGATAATGCGGAGGTTAAGTTGGGGATCATGAGACGGAGGAGGATGAGGATGCGAATACTTCTTGCTTCGTTTTGTCCGTTCTCCCTGGTGGCACGGCTCCGCCAGGGAGTCGATCAGCCCACCCAGCAGCGACCGCTGCTGGGGGGAGGGCGTTCGAACAACTCTGAGGCCGTCTGTCCTGAACTCTGAGGAGCAGGAGACGACGGCCTCCGGGCGGCGGGGAGACGGCCTGCCGGAGAGAGGGCCCTCGCCTCCGGAGGCTTCCGTGAGCCCCCCGCAGCGCGGAGACCATCTGCGGGAAAGACGGCGCTCGCCCCCGGCTCCCCTGAGGCACGAGGAATCCCCCGAAGGCCTCTCGAGGCCACTGGAAGCAGTGCCGAGCGCCATCCTCGCGGAAAGAGTCGTCTTCGGGAAGGCGATGGGCTTCGGGCGCCTCCTGAGGGCCCCTGAGGGCCATCTTGGGCCACGCCCCTCCTCTCGCGCACGCTGGGCCCCCTCACAATGCGGAGGCGGAGGAGGGTCAAAACGAGGTGCGAGAGGCAAGGAGGACGACCAGGAGAATGATGATTGCTTACCAGGCATGCCTTCCACCTCTGACCAGGTCAGGGCACCCCCCGAGGGACGCGGCCTTCTGCCAACTTCGGAGCTGGTCAGCCCAGGATGGTCGCCCAGCCATTGCGCCGTCAAGCTCTGGGCATAGAGGCCCCGGCGAGCACGGGGGCGCCAACGAGGGGGGCGTCCAAGAGGAGGGGTGCGCATCGTGGCCGGAGCCACGTGGGCGGACGAAGGGAGGACCAGGGGACGCATGTTAAGCACAAAAGGGTGCCATGAGATCGGGGCAGATACCCTGGCCCCGGCCATGGTGTCCACACACCCCAGCCACCACCCCCCTCGTGACCGCCCCCGACAGACACGAGGCCAGTCGCCTGTGACCCCAGCACTCCGCGGAGCCTTCCACCTCAGGCCTGGGGGGACTCTGAGCACGCTCGTGCAAGACCGCAGGCCTGGCAGCGGGGGCACACGACGAGCTCAGCACTGTCACTGCACCGATGCGCGATGAAGGCGGGAGGATGAGGAGGACGAGGAGGGATGGAGGGATGGAGGGGAGGGGGGGAGGGAAGGGAGGGCGGGAGGGAGGAGGAGGGACGGGAACGACGACGGCGACCAGGAAGACGAGGGGCAGGACGAGGAAGGGGTCCCCCACTCCCCTCTCCACCTCCTCCGCCATGACCCGCTGTCTTCACTCCTGATGCGCAACGACAGCGCGTAGCCTACCGCGGCCACGGCTGGCAAGGGTCGGCCGATGCTACACGCAGCAGGCACTTACGAACAATGGCAGAAACAACAAAAAACTCGGAGGTCCGCGCGGATGTTTCGGATCGGCGCTGGGCCCGCCCACCTCCCTGGCGCACGGAGCGCGCCAGGGGCGGCGCTGGAGGCGCCGCCAGGGGGGGGGCAGGTCCACAACCACCATGCCTGGCCAGGTCCATCCTGGGTGCTGATGGTGGCGTGCGCCCTCCCAGCCGAGGCCAGGGAGGTTCAGTGCTCCGCTCCAGCACTGGGGCGAGGACGGCCCTGGCCAGGCACAACGCTTCTGCTGACGCCGCCTGCGGCTCTCGCTTGGACGCCCGAAGTGGGCACGGACAAAAATTGGGTGCGATGCCCACTAACAGTTGTTGTCCAAAACCGGCAGCGGCCGCTGTTGCGCAGGCCGCCTTATGCCTCAAATGGACTGCGTGGAGGAGGGAGGGAGGAGGAGGAGGAGGAGGAGGAGGAGGAGGAGGAGGAGGAGGAGGAGGAGGGAGGGAGGGAGGGAGGGAGGAGGGAGGGGGGGAGGGAGGGAGGGAGGGAGGGAGGGAGGGAGGGAGGGAGGGGAGGGGGAGGGTGAGGGAGGAGGAGGAGGGAGGGAGGGAGGGAGGAGGAGGAGGAGGAGGAGGAGGAGGAGGAGGAGGAGGAGGAGGAGGAGGAGGAGGAGGAGGAGGAGGGAGGGAGGGGAGGGAGGGGAGGGGAGGGAGGGAGGAGGGAGGAGAGGGAGAGGAGGAGGAGGGAGGGAGGGAGGGAGGGAGGGGGAGGGGGGAGGGAGGAGGAGGAGGAGGAGGGAGGAGCCGCGCACCCACTTGCCCCGTGCCGATCTCGGGCCCGCCCCCCCGCCCCGCGCGGGCCTCCGCGCCGGAGGAGCCGCTGGCCGCGGCGCCCGCTCCTGCGGCAGCCGCCCGCGCCTGGCAGTGCCCGACGAGCCTGCGGCTGGCGCGGCACACTTGCCCAGACTCCTCGCCCTCCCCCCCTAAAACGACGCGAAGATCGGGACAAAATCGGATCGGGAGAACTCGAAATCTCTGAGCATCGGCGGGTTTCGAGGATGTATTGGGCGCCGCGGCCGCTCCAGAGCGTTCCGGAACGCTCCGAGAGCGCTCCGGAACGCTCTGGAGCGATTTATCCCGATCCCAGCCCTGTTTTACTCCCCCCCCGCCCGCCCTCGTCCTCCTCCATGGTTGCTCTGCGCTTGGTGGCACACGCCGGTCGGAAGAGGGAGGTCAACACGTGAAGCAGGAACGCGGATAAGGTGGATAGGGCTCCGGCCCTCCCAGGAGAGTGCAGACCACAGCGAGAGCAGGTCGTCTCTTGAGGTAGGACAGCAAAAAATCGGGATCCGTGAGTCCAGCAGTACAGACTTTCAACGACCGGCGGGTCAACTTTTGGAGGGGGTCCCCATCCCCGATGGGTGGTCGACGGCAAACTTTCCGCGCCCGTGGGCTGCGGTCTGGCTGTCGCGGCGGGTGGGGTGGGCCGACTTGGATCGACGTCGCGCGGCAATCTTTGCCCGCAACGGGGTTCGATTTGGGGTTGTCGGCGGGGGTGGCGCCCCCTCCACGCAGGGTACCCTCCTTCCTCGCGCTACTCCTCGCCAGCCTCCTCGTCCACCTCGTCCTCCTCGTCCTCCTCCTCGCTGTCCTCCTCCTCATCCTCCTCCTCCTCCTCCTCCTCGCCACCTCCATCAAAATCTTGTATCCACATATGTCCCTGGAGACCGGTGTGGGAATTCCCTGCCCCCCCCCCCGGAAAACAACCGAACAACATCAGAAAAAAACATTTCATAGTTTCTTTTCTTTCTGATATGTTTCCCCCTGGAGCCGGAGCCTATGAGGGTATGGGGGGGGAGCTTCGGGTCTCTTGAAGAGGTGTCCGCGGCCCCACAGTTCAGTACAATACCATGTCTGGAAAACCAAACAACTAATCATTAGAAACGAGCCCGAAAAACCTCCACCCGGAGGGGTTTTCAGGGGGGTCCCGGGGACGATCGAATAACACCCTCCACATCGCAATTCGAGATAGACCCCCTGGAACCCCCCATTCGGGAGGTTTGTCCGAAGTGTTTTCTAGCGTGTGTGCTCATAAGTTGTTTCTAAGGTTCTTCAGCTGTTTTATTTCCAAGGGGCGCCCCCGACAAAAAAACAGCTCTGGTTTTTGTTTGTTTGTTCTTTCGGGGGGGTAAACAAAACTATTTCTGACCCTCCCTCTACAACAAACGAAACATCGTCGAACAAAATCCAAACTCGGGTTTGCTCCCCTGAGGTTTCTTCGAGGTTTTCCGGTCACGCAGGGCTCGGGGGGGGGATTCTCGGGCTCGGAGGGGGGATTCTCGAACCCATACCAACTCGAGGAGTTCTTTGCTTTTTCCGAGGTTTTGCGGCCACCCAAGGCTCCGGGAGGGAAAAACACCGACTCCCCCCAACTGGAAGGTGTTTCGGAAGGGCCAAGGGCCCCTGAAATTAAAAACGAATGTATCTCTAAGACATCGCCGCAATACTTCAACAAAACACCGGAAACTCAAATAAAAAGAAAACTCTGCGTTTTGCATGTTTTTGTTCCTGGTCGCCCTCGGCTCCGCCTCGAAAAACTTTTCAACTCGGAAATTTCTGGGTGCGGACGAGAAGATTCCGCGGGCTTACTATAAAAAACAATCCGGGTCTAAAAATCCTTCCAAGAACAATCCAAACAGAAACGCAGTAGAAAAACTGAGATTCGGGGTGATTTTCCTCAAGTGCTTCGAAAGTTCTTCGGCCACCCCAGGTTCCGGAGCGTGGAACCACACCACAGAAACCCGACTCGGGGGGGGGTCGAAAATTGTTCGGGGGTTCGGGGGGGAAACCCCCGAAGGAGTGCCACATTCGATGGTTGATGTGTGTGTTTTTTTGTCATTACAATATTTTTGTCCCAAAACTCCGTCTGCTAAAAAATCTTGAGAAAACCTCGGCCCCCCCACACATCGGGGGTGTTTCGGGAATTGTCCGGGTTCTTCCCGACCACCCCAGGTTCCCAGGGGACACCCCCAAAAAAAGAATAAGCAACTCGGAGGCGGTTCTTTTCCGTAGGGCTCTGGGGCCCCGCAATCACAAATTAGCCTGGCGAAGGACCCAACTATATGCAGTTGTGAATACCACATTGTGCTCATCGTCTTCGGTTGCGCTCCTAAGGGAGCCACGAACCGTGCGAAGGGTGCGCCAAATGCGTGGCGGGATACACAACGCGAACGAAGACGAGAGGCACGAGTACGAGAGACAGCGCGGGCGAACCTGAGCGCGAGTGAGTCTGATTGTGAAGGAGTCTGCGCGCGAACGATTCTATCTGCGTGAATGCGAGCATGCCTAACCGTAGTGTAAACGCGTACGAATGGGAACGGTTTAAATATGACCGGCTCTGACAACTCATGGGAACTCATGGCACTGAGCGTGGCCGCCGCAAGGAGCTTCCCCGGAACCCCAGGTGGCAGCGCCCGCGCGCCGCGACGGCCATGTAGGCACGCCCTTCACGAGGATCGCGCCCGCTTCCTTCCCTTCGTTTTTTCCCTCTTTCCCCACGAACTCCAATGTCATGGCAGCGGGCGCCGCGCACGGAGTGCCCGCGACGCGCGCCGGTCGCCCCGAAGGGGTCCCAGCGACGCGCGTGGGTCGTCCGCGGCGCGGAGCAAAGAGTGCTGCCTGGCTGGCTGATAGCGGGCCAGGCTCTGGCCGCTGGGCAGAGCGACGACGGGCGTGCGGGGCGCTGGGCAGAGCGCAGCACGGAGTTCCCGCAACGCGCTCTGGTTCCCTCAGCAATCTTAAGAGAGGGGTCTCGGGGAGAGGTCTCGGGTGGTGGGATCGCGATGGGCCCGATCCTCACACTCCCCATCCTCATCCTCGCATGGTCATCATCGTCATCCTCATCATCCTCATCATCATCACCACCAACACGGCAATCATCATCATCATCATCACCATCACCATCACCATCACCATCACCATCACCATCACCATCATCATCATCATCATCATCATCATCATCATCATCATCATCATCATCATCATCATCATCATCTTCATCTTCATCTTCATCATCATTATCATCATCAACATCATCATCATCATCATCATCCTCATCATCATCATCATCATCATCACCATCATCGTGATCGTCATCGTCATCAGCATCAGCATCAGCATTAGCATCATCATCATCATGATCATGATCATCATCTTCATCATCATCATCATCATCATCATCATCATCATCATCATCATCATCATCATCATCATCATTTTCACCATCACCATCATCATCCTCATCACCAGCATCATCATCCTCATCAGGATCATCCAGTGGAGGCGATCCCTCCAAGCGAACCCTGCCGCTGGAGTCTTCAGTGGAATCCCCAATGGAGCCACGAAGCGTTTGAAAGGCTTGACAAAATAGAGGCGTTGACGCCGCCCTGCCGCTGGGACCTTCGGTGGAGCTCCCTATGGAGCCACGAAGCGTGTGAGGGCTGTGCCGAAATGGAAGCGGGGCCGCTACGGAAACTTTGCCACTGGGGCCTTCGGTGTCACGAAGCGTGTGAGGGGTGTGCCGAAATGGAGGCGGGGCCACCATGCGAACTTTGCCATTGGGGCCTTCGGTTGAGCTCACTATGAGACCACGAAGCGTGTGAGGGTGTGCCAAACTGGGGGCGGGGCCGCCATGCGACCTTTGCCACTGGGGCCTTCAGCGCCCTATGGGGCCACGAGACATGTGAAGGTGTTCCGAAATGTGGGCGGGGCCGCCATGCGATCTTTGCCGATGAGGCCTTCGGTGGAGCTCCCTATGGGGCCGCGAAACGTGTGAGGGGTGTGCCGAAATGGGTGGGCGGGGCCGCCGTGCGAACTTTCCAACGGAGGCCTTCGGTGGAACTCCCTTTGGGGCCAAGAAACGTTGTGCCGAAATGGGGGCGGGGCCGCTATGCGAACTGTGCCATTGGTGCCTTCGGTGGAGCTCCCTGTGGGGGCGCGGAACGTGTGAGGGGTGTGCAGAAATGGGTGGCAGGGACGCATCTGGACACCGCCACTGAGGTATCTGGTGGAGCTCCCTATGGGGCCACGAAATGTGGACCCCAACTACAACTCCAGAATGATAGTGATGACAGCGATGATGATGATGATGATGATGATGATGATGATGATGATGATGATGCTGCTGCTGCTGCTGCTGATGATGATGATGATGATGATGATGATAGTGATGATGATGATGATGATGATGATGGTGCTGACGATGATGATGGTGATGGTGATGGTGATGATGATGACGACGACGATGATGATGACGATGATGATGATGATGATCATGATGATGATGCTGCTGATGATGATGATGGTGCTGACGATGATGATGGTGGTGATGATGAGATTGATGGTGCTGCTAATGATGATGATGATAATGAGGATGAGGATGATGACGATGCTGATGATGATGATGATGATGATGATGGTGATGATGTTTGTGATGAAGGTGATGCCGATGATGATGGTGATGGTGATGGTGATGATGATAACGATAATGATGGTGATGACGATGTTGATGATGATGATGTTGATGCTTATGGTGATGGTGATGATGATGATGGTAATGATGATGATGATGATGATGCTGATGATGGTGATGATGATGATGATGTTGATGCTGACGATGATGATGATGATACTGATAGTGATGAAGATGATGATGAGAATGATAATGATGATGATGGTGATGATGATGATGAGGAGGAGGAGGAGGAGGAGGAAGAGAAGGACATGAGGACATGCGGAAGGCAGAGGCAAGGAGGAGGAGGGAGGAGGGAGGAGGAGAGGAGAGGAGAGGAGGAGAGGAGACGCGGGGCGCTGTCGTTTCAAAACAAGGACCCAACACCACAGGATGATTGGGAACAATAGTATTTCTGACTGTGAATA